TTAAAAAAAAGAAAATTGGAAAAAAGAATAAAAAATTGATACTTAGCACAAGTATATTGATAATCGATTGCGCGAGAAAGCATCACGGTACGTCACCATATCAATGTATTGTCACACTGCTACTCCATAGTGCTACTCGAGCGGTTGGCATAAACACAACTCTATTTTTAAGAGAAATCAGAATTCTAATCTATGCGCAATCTACGCATGGCGGAAAAAAATATAATTAGACATTTTGCCAAAATCCTTGAGCCCTGTCGTGTGACGTCACAAGTTAAAGGTCATGGCAGGGGCCGCTGTAAAGGGTGTGTGCGGTGGTCATGCCCAGTGCTGAGAGGGAGAGCCGAGAGCCAACAGGTCGTCTGACTCAATATGGTGTGGCGCGTGTTTCACCCCTGACTGCAGCCTGGGACGAGCCCTCATCAGGAAGATGGGGCAGTTTAATTAAACACAGCACATCCACTCTTCCGCCACCATGACATATAAAGGCACCCAGAATGGAAAATGAGGCAATGGAAAAAGAGACATAATGTTACAGGTGTAAAATAACTGGTGCATGGGTTTCTACGGGTTTGAATGTTGAGACAACAGACCGTACAAAAGTCACCTGCTTGTACTTAATGTGTGTTATTGTATGATGTAAGTATGATGTTAACTAAGCGGGGGCCATTTTACTATTGCAACGACACATTATCAGTAGGGTAAAACTAACCTGTCACAACTGACAAACATCAGGGAGACAAACAGACAGCAGACCACCACAATAAAGTTAAACAGTGCACGATCTGGATAACCTGCAGCATTGTGTGATTACATTACACTGCTCTGTTCCAGGGCGGGTACCAGTACAGAACCAAACAGGTTTCTTTGGGCTGGTGGGGTTTGGAACAGTGAGCATGGAAAGCTTGTGTTTCCTCATCAGAATTAAATCTGTTTATAAACATTATTAAGTGATGGCTGAATTTATCAACAATTTCAGGAAACCTTGGAAGTAGGATAAGAATAAATAATGACACATTTTATTTAAGAAGGGAACTGCGCCTCTTGACAGAAGTCTGCCCACTTTTAAAGTTTTTCATAGTACATAAACAGTCATAATAATACATTGAATATAGGGCTGGGCGATATGGCAAATAAGTAAAATCTCGATTTTACTTCCTGCTTTGGACGATATGTTTTTATCTTTCCGCTCAATATTCAAGTTTCAAAACTGTTTTTATTTTTATTTTTCCCCAAAACGTATTATAAAAGTTTTGTACAGACTGTGTTTAATTCATGTGCTGCTGGACCTCTTACAATACTCTTCATCCAATTTAACAATTTTCACATTTTTCACAAATTTTATTTTTTCAAAAGCCGATCAATTGCCTAAATTCAATTTATTGCCCAGCCATAATTGAATGATCAATTTAACAAACATAAATCATTTCTCTGTTACGGGTACCCAATACAGTTCCCAGCTCTTGCAAGATGCCAGAAGCAAATTGTCATTGTGTACTTTTTGTTTTCTTGAAAAGATGATTAAAGTGGAATCTCGAGTTGCAAAAGGAATAGACAATTAGGTGAGTATCTCAAAAGCTGTCAAATGCTTTATACAAATATCTGTACAAGATTCAGACAAGTCTCTAGGACACAAACTCGAAACCTTACACATCTGGACAACGACACAACTTAAACACCTCTTATCTGAAAGCTAGGCACTCCGGACCACCGCCTCCCACCGCTGAACGGTGACCTTATGAAAAAAGTCTCACATCATAATAACAGAATGAATAATTTATAACGCGTTGTGGAGGTCCTCTATAATGAGCAATTTTGCGAGGTCGCACTTTCGAAACCCAAGCAGGCCTTCTCAAGTCTGTATTTGTGCGTGAGAGAGATAGTGCTGATTCAGTAGGGAAGGCTGAAGGTGACCCTCCTTCCCCTGCTGCTGGTCTCACCACCTGATATTGATCCCCCTTGTCCAACTCGGATAGCACTCAAGGATACGCGGATTCATTGCCTTCTTGACATTTCAAATATGGCACTGTGTAAATGGTAACTCCTCGCCGTCTCATTGATTAGTTATTGACCACTGCCTCAATCACAGTCCTAACCTTCTTGCAGATAATCTAAACTGGAGAAACCCAGACAGCGTGGGTATGTATGGGGATGAGACGCCAGTGTTTGTGTTATTGTTGCTGAAATTTCATATGAACTGTGGGGCAGGACTAAGAATAGATAGGCGTACAAGAGCAGAATCCAAATGTACTGGCTGGGAGCAAAGGTTTGGACCACAGATGGGAGACAGTGGGATGCGTAGCCCTGCCCCGTCAAGGGTAAACTGCCTCACAGTCTTTACGCACACCGAGAGAGCCCTCACGCACACACTTTTTTTTCACCACACCTTAAAACAGCTGCATGAATATGGATGACGCTGAAGGACACAGGAGGTACATAATTAGACAATCAAGTGCTCCCGGATGACATGCAACTCCACAGCGGTGAACCACGGCATCTTCCGCTCTCATTACCAGCAAAAGTGCGTTCACGTTTGTTGTGCGCTGACATGCATTTTCACTTAGTGTTCTGTCAAACTTGGTCAAGAGGGATCAGTGGAGAGTCAAGTTTTTAGGTAGTCGTGTGGTTAAATAAGAATGACTGGAGGAACTGCAATGAACAATTCAGGAGCAGTAAGAATAGCTATTATAGTATGTGTATATATATGTAACGTGTGTATATATATGTACATGTATTATAACAAAAGATCCTCCTTCCCCTGTCTCCTATATATCTCATGAAAACCCACGCAGCCTTGACTATAAGTGTATTCCAGGAGTTCAAAGCAATATCAACTGTCTTTACCAATGTCTGTTCGATATAGCAACGTGTAATCCAAATGTGATTACTTACAAATGCATTCTTTCAAAATAATGGTAGAAATAAATGCGACACACCTTATAATGAAGCTACAGAAACAGTGAGAAAAGCAAATCAACGTGCAATACTGCACACACGCAAACACACACACGCACACATACACACAAACTTACATCATGTGGCTGTGTCTATTTTTTACTACAATGGTGCAGGTATGAAGAGCGATGAATGCTGTAGTTGATTTCACATGAGAATAAGATTGCACTGAAATATGACAGTAGAGATTAGGTTCAAAATAAACAATAGACAATTATAGCTTTAACCATGCAATATGCCATTAATTGCTTTAGATGGATTGGATAGACAGATGATAGATAAATAGACAGATGATAGATAGATAGATAGATAGATAATACTAACTCAATATGTAGTGAGTTTTTTTTTTAATATGAATATGATAGTAAGAAGAAGAAGCCATATTAGATATCTAGTATTTTTCCCAAAACAAACTTTTCCTACTCTCCTGTTTGCATTCAGCACATGCTCACAGATTCACCTGTTCAAACCTTATCCCGTGATCTGCCTCCATCATCACAATCCCACATCGTCCCCAGTCTCTCACACTTGGCAAACACACAACACTCTCACATTTCTCTTATTTAGGAAAAATACTGACCTGCCCTGGCGCTGACACACACACATTCTCTTCAAACAGTTGAGCCTTTCAAAGAGGATCCGTTTGAACGCGTCTATATACATTGCTGAGTTTGACCCACGTGCGGGGAGGAAAAACATGCAAAAAATGTGGAATGTGACCAGCACGGGGGAGGCACTGTGAATGCACCCCGGCGAGTGGCTGGATCCAGTGTGTCCGGTACGATGTGAGCAGCAGACGGCGTGTTTAGACACTGATGCACTGAGCCGCGGTGATCTGGAGACAGGGAGGAGAGAGAGCGCACACACACAAGCCTCTATCGGGCAAATCTGACAGGGGACGTTTAGAAGTATGGCATCCACCACTACGATGGGCGTGATGCATCAATCAAAGTGTGCATGCTCTCCAAAACTTATTACGTGCAAATAGCTATACCAGGACTTTGCATATACTGTAGTACTTACTGCTTTCATGTTATTTTCTTTGTGTTGGCCAAAGCTGCATGCTCTCTGCGTATCGTGGTGCAGACTTCGGGGTTAGTTTATATCCATCCCATTTCTCCACCAGCGTTGTAGGCTTGCAAAGATATGGTGACCACAGATATGTTGGCTTCTACAAGAGATGTCACCAGGTTAGTTAAGAGTGTGGACAAGCTCTGAGTTTGATCCACACCTGGAAACAGAAACTTCCCGAGTGCAGAGGGAGGGAGTTAACCGAGCCACCTCTATCATTAGATCCTGAGTGTGCGAAGTACCTGCATCAGCATCTGTTGTCGAGGACACGTAGTACTCAGTAAGGTGTGACAACCGTGTGAGAAAAATGAGAGAAAACAGTCACAAATCAAATAGTATTTAAACAATGTTATCAATAAACTATAATAAAAAGGCATTCAATTCATAAACACAATTCTATCACTGAGTTGACGTTAAAATACTCACATCTGTGGCGCGAAAAAGTATTTCCGGATGTTTGTTTAGAACTGTTTTTATTTGTGTTTAACAATGTTAAACTATGATTTAAACCTTTTACAAGTACAACAAATTGCCCGTGTAATTTTAAACTGCAAATAAATTTAACTGCCATGTTAAATGAAGAAACATACCGAGGCTGCATCCAAATTCAGCCAAAATGTCTACACTTATCTTCTCTTGTCCTTCCACTATCTATGGTTCTTCCTTGCGGTGTAAAAATGTATGAGACGAGCTAGCTCCAGGTGTGATCAGGTATATACATATATAAATATACCTTTTAATGCCTCTTAGAATAAATCGTATGCCATAAAGGCCAAATTAAATGTGAAGGGAGATAAAGAACGGAGGTGTTTTTAATTTGGATGTCACCTGTAAACTGCGTTCCACTGTCTCTTTAAGACAAGTGCATTGTGGGTAATGTCGTTTTAACGTATTTTTCTCTAATATTCCTCCATCAAAAAAAACTACTGCTCCCACAACCCTATGCGCTTGCTTTGGCACAGTTCTAAACAACTATGGCGTCGCACGACGACATGGGAGCCGCTGGGACCGGCGGAGATCAAGAAGAGAAGAAATCACAGACGGTGTCGTTTGGCTTTTCTAGAACAGTCAGCAAATTTAAACCAGTGACTGCAGATTCTGCCACATGGAAGGAGGAGAGGGATTATCTCACAGGAATAGATCGGAAAGAATTACAAAGGTAATGCTAGCATTGTGATGCTAATGCTAACCCATCATAAGTGACACTGCGGACCACATATAATACAGTTACATGACATTATAGTTTAGAGGTTTGTAATATTTTGGAAAATGAATATGTCATAATACTATTTTTCAAGATGTACAACGATAACAGGTAGAGTTTATTGTTGATACGCAGAACAGACAGTAACAGAAAAAATACGGATACAAATACTCAAAACTAAAACAGACCATTAATGCTTACATTTGTGTGGTTAGTTTTTTATGTAACACGACTATATTACATAGTTTTGATTGACTGCCTCAATTCTCTGAATATTCTTATGCGAATATTTTTTTCAAATGATAAACCTGATACTGTATAATATTTTTTTTTTCATATTGACCACACACACGTATTTTTACTTGTAATAAAATTGTTTGATTTAATTAGTTGTTAACTAATTCTTAATTCTTCGGTTGACAGTACAAAGCCACAGGAAAAGCCCAAAGAACTGATCATTCCCTTGATCCAGAAGAACTACTGGCAAAAACCGACCAGTGGAGGGCAAAATGAGGCTAAAGCCAAGAAAGGGGAAGTTGTGAGCCAGGAGCCGGAGTCTGTGGACTCTCAAGCTGTAAGGGAACTAATAGAAGGTGCGTACTTCTTATAGAGACATTGTGGACACAGTGCAGGATATGGATGTCTACAAAAGTGTAAAATTTATAGCATTATTTATCCAATTTTTACTATTTATCTTTTTCAAATAGATTCCCGGAGGCAGCTGGAAGAGTGGCAAAATGGTACAGAAACAGAGAAGCATGTTGATATGAGTATCCCCTTGCTGATGCAAAACAAAGTACCTGATGGTTTTGAGGATGGCGATCATGTCAATGTGGATTTAAGGCCTGAATCTGTGAGTATGAAAACTAAATTGAAACAAGCCTCTACAAATCTGATTGATTGTCTTTATTACAGCTTTTTATGATTCACAAACTTAACCCTTTAAGCGCCAAAGTCGCAATATTGCGACAAGCAACATTGCTCACTTAAACAGGCTGTATGTAAAAATGTGGTGCAGAATCTTGTTAATACTTTTCACCAGGGGTTAGTGGACATGTGTGCCTGTAATATGAGCAGCATTTGTGGGTGTGGTTATATTGAAAGTTTTTGAGTAAATTGAGTTCGTAAAACACCTGCGGCGCAGCAGCGCGGAGGCTAAGCAGCAGCGGGAGAGCTGAGAGGAGCGAGAGCAGAGCAGAGGGAGAGAGTGTTTTTTATTTTACTCACGAGGTCTTCAGTACCAGAGAAGTACTTGGTCTGGTACTGGCTCACTCAGAATCAGAGGAGGAAGACACGCAGGTGTCCAGTGAAGCAGACACAGACATTATTAGTGACGGGGAGACCGCGCCATATAGTCCACAATCAGCCCCTGTACAGCGGCTGCTTGTCCTCCGTGTGGCCGCGGTAGAAGCATTCTGTGAACGCCAAGCAGGGGCTGTGGTCGAGGCGAGGGTACAGGGGCATCATAACACCGGGCATGTGGGAGAAAGTAGCGGGGGTAAACATCCACGGGGAACACGGGAGACGCGGGAGAGCCGCCGGAATAAAACACATCGCTTTTCGCGTTCACTGCCTTTACCAACAGTGATGATGAGGATCAAGGCAGTTCTTGAGAGAAAATAATCCACAAAAGTGGATCAGAAGTGTTGAAGAACAGTTGTTTCTTGTTGAGACGATCTGACATGTTCTGAGCCCATTCATTTCATCTCTCTGTTTCTAAACCATAAATCCAGGAGCCTCATTTCCACCGAGAAAAATAGTAAGCCCACCACTTCTTTGAAAGGGAAATATTGAAACCAAACTCCAGATTTCATGACTGTAAACTATAAAGAGAGCTGTCTTGATCACTGAAGGTCTATGAAAATAATACAATTCTGTATGGCCGCGAACCAGTGCTAAAACATTATCTATAATCTGGATCAGGGAATTTATTTCTATCCCAAATTCATTTCATACTAAAGATATTTCACACTGACTGTTTATAGTATTCCCTGATCTAAAAAAAACTCCCAAGCTACAGCTTTTTGAAGTTTTTATACAATAATTAACATTTTCCAAAATGGCCGCCACCTTGATGACGTCACAATATGCAAATTAGATGACGAATCAACTTCCATCCCAAAGTTTGGTTCAAACTGAAGATATTTCTAATTTACAGTGTGCCTTTATCTCAAACCATTTTAAAGTTATAGCCTTTTGGAATCTTGAAATCAAAATTGTATATTTTCTTGAAAAAACTCTGGCGCCTAAAGGGTTAAGGATAACTCTTTGGATAATGTGCTCACAGGAGGACCCTAGACTTAAGTTGGCATATAGATATAACACATTGTTAGACTTTCTGCATGAAATATATCGTTTGTCTCCATTGGAAAACAAGTACATTGTCACCTTCAGTGCAGTGTGAGACCTAATAAGGAAACAGTTCTGTGTGAAACTATTGTTGTAGATGGATCCCTGTGCTCAGTATTTCAGTTTTATTTGGTTATTAAACGTTTTAGTAATTATACTAATTCATCCATTTGTTGAGGCGAAGAATTAGCAAGAAAATCTCTTTTGTAATAGCCTTACCTTTAGGGAATCTGGGACAAATTCCTGAATCCTCCCATTACAAATTGGTGAGAAATGTAAATGATTTTTTTCTGTGTGGAAACATGATTGTCTACTACATAACATAAACCAATATGCACCGTTTTCTGGCAGAGCTCTAAAAAAAACCTGAGTCTTAGACAGGCATCAAAACAGTTCCCTGGAACCGAGAGGCCACTGATCTGATCTGTTTGTGAATGCCTGTCATTTCATATCAGCACTTTTTGCGTCTGTCAGAAGAGAAGGGGGAAACTTCAGCGTATTTGGGTGCTGCGGGATCAGCCCCGAGTGTTTTTGCAGAGAGAGACAGGGGCCTAACCCTGAGAGCCTAAAGCTGAAAAGCTGAGTAAGACGAGAGTCACAGCTGTCTACTGACTGTCCGTTTATGCAGTGTTTTGTAACTGCTTATGTAACACTCTCTTTTAGCCTCTCTAAATGTCCCGAGTAATGTATTAGCAGCATCAATATATGACTGCTTAAGATTTAGATAAATACTGATTAACATAGGTGGAGTTGTCCATATTTAAACGTTTAACACATGATTTTTAGTCCACAGAAGCAGACTATGAGACTGTGCCTGTTCAAGCTTACGGACTTGCGATGCTGAAGGGGATGGGCTGGAAAAAAGGCGAGGGAATTGGACGCACATTTAAGCAGTGAGTGGAAGCTTTTGTGACAAGTCTTTATGGGATTCATACTTTGTATTAAAAAAGTTACTTGGGATATTCTTTTGAGTTTGTTAAAGTAAAAAGGTCTTTCCTTTTCAGAGATATAAAGCCAATTGAGCACCAGCTCCGACCAAAGGGACTGGGCCTTGGAGCAGATCGATCAGCGATCAAAGACTTGGAGCCCAGTAAACGCAAGCGACCTCCAAAACCTGGGGAGGAGCGTGACAAAGAGGAGGAGCTCGTGATGGGGCCTGGAGGCTGTGTGCAGGTGCAGTCGGGAGCACACAAAGAGCTCTATGGAAAGGTACAGTTCCTCCAGTATTTCTCTATTATTTTGGGACCCAGACAATAAACAAAATGAGATAAAGATCAATATTTGGGAATATAAGATTGTATACATACAGAATTGTCTAAATGCCTAAATTGAGGTAAAAGTGGTTCAATATAAAAGTATGTTGAAGAATCCTTTTTAAAATAAATTTTATTACACCAATATTATGTTTCTGAGCTCTCTTATAAACTCTCAATGTTCTAATTTTTATTTTTTATTTTTGATAAAACACAAGTGCTAATGTCATCTTTCTCTCGACACAAAACAGATTGAAGGCATTGATGCAGATAATGCTCGAGTTCTGGTGAAGCTGGCAATAGGCAGCAAGACTGTAACCATCAGCCAGTACGCGGTGAAACTGGTCGAACGGAAAGAGTATGAGAAATATAGCAAAGATCTCAGTAAGTAGAATGTTTGTTTTTATTGTTTTAGCAAATCATTGTTCATCTACTTAATTAGTATGACCATTACTTTTTAAAAACACATTGAATGTTTTTTGATTGTTTAGGTCGCCTCAGTAAAGCCCACAAGGAAAAGGAGCGAGAGAAGGAAAAAGAGAAGCAAAAACAAGAGCGGAGGAGCGCAGATGAGGCCAAACACAGATCTTCAGAGAAAGACGAGCGAAAGAGGAAGCATCGGGACTCGAGTCAAGACAGAGACAGGTCCTAAGTCTGAAAACAATGTGGTTGTTTTGTAATATCCCATTGGAAAGCTAGGTTTTTAGATTTGTGATTGAAACATTTTGTCTACTTCCAGGGATAGGCCATCAATCAAGGAACCCAAGCGACCCCCGGCTCCGCCTTCTTGGCTCCAGAGAGACTTAAAAGTTCGTTTCATCGATAAAGCATTTAAAGGGGGAAAGTACTACAATTCAAAGGTGAGTGTTTCACTGCAGAATAGTTTTCAAACGTTTGCATAATCAATACCATGAGACCTGAATAATAATCGGCTCGTATTCCTCCTAGATGCGCATAGAGGACGTTCTGACACCCAGCATCTGCGTATGTCGAACCGAAGAGGGGAGATTGTTAGATGGTAACTTATTTTATCCTTTCTGTTTGGGTTGTTTTTACTTTAGAATCATTAATAGCAGTTGAGACAGTTTTACTATAATATTGTTAAAAGGGCATTTTGCAAATGTTTTGCGGGTTTGACCTTATAGTGATGAAGTAGCTTTGTATGAGTGATTAGCATGGCGCCTTAACTTTTGATCAGGGTCGTGTATACACTGCTCCAGGATCAGTTTTTCTGCTGTAGGGGTCCGCCAGCAAAACGAAATCTTCCAAACAATTGATCCTTTTGCATCCTAGAGACCACTGTGATGGAAAGTAAAGGTGCCGTGCTGGCCACTCATATAGCCACTGCGTTACTACAAATTCAAACATGAGCATATTTTTCAAAATTTAGATCCTGTGCACCGGCTTCCTGTTAATTTCAGAATTGAAGATCTTCAATGGAGCCTCAAAAGGACTGGCCCCACAGTAAATCCAAATTTACCAACCGCCCCGTGCTGAGGTCCGAGGGCCACTAAAATGAGACTTGAGACCTGGGGGACAGGGCCTTTGCTGTGGCCTAAATTATCTTCAGTCTTATATTTATGTATTTTTTTTATTTTTACTCTATTAAAAGTAGACCCTTTAAGACACTTAAGATTTAAATGACCCAGGGCTGCTCAAGTTGAGGAAAATAGTCAAAATGCAGCTCAAAAATAAATTATAGGATATTTTTTAATTACTGTGGCGCGTCAATTTGATCGGAAGCTAGCACAAGGGTTGAATTTGTTAGTTTTCTCTCTGTGCAGCACTTTGAAATTTGTTTAATAATATGTGCTATATAAATAAAGCGTATTGGATATGAAAAGACTTTTTAACTTGAACCATGTGCATTTTTCAGACATAAAGCAGGACATGTTGGAGACGATGATTCCAAAGAGCGAGCAGGAGTTCATTATGGTGGTCCTGGGTGAACATAAAGGGCAGGTGTGTGTACAATGACGAACAGTACTTCTGTTAAATGTATTTTGAGTAAAAACAAGGGAACTGAAACGAATCTCCGCAGGTCGGGAGGATCCTGCAGCGGGACAAGAACAAGTGCAAAGCGATGGTGCAGCTCGATCGTTATGAAGAGAAAGTGTTCACGTTGGACTATGACATCATCTGCCATTATATCGGGGCCACAGACCAATGAATCTGATCCTTTTTATCGTGTTGTCAGTGTTTAATGTGTGTAATCCAGTGTTTTATTAAATACTGTAATAATGTATTCAACTTTGTAATAAAAAATCCGTGTTTGTACATATCTTTTATTAAAAAAAGAACCAATAATGAATTTCACTTGTTGCCTGTTTACATAAAAATGATAGGACTCGCACACGACATATTTACATTTGCTCCAAAGCTAATTGACGCATTAAACAACACAAGTAAAATTACAGTATTTTAAATTCTACATCACTCTTTAGGGATTTGATTAGCTGCGTTAGCTCTAAGCACTGCTCCAGGGCTGGGGTACGGTCGCTGCTGAAACAATGGACCGGCTGCTGTAGTATCTGCCCCTGTCTTTGCCTCATTTCGCTTTGGAAGTCCAGTCGACCATGAACCCCTAGGAAAAAACACATTGGAATGTTAATTTAACTACATAGTCCTGTGAAATAATACTTCTATTGGAATATGTGTGTCCACTTTACCTTGGAGCATCTGAATAAGCACTAGGATCCATTGGGTCCATCTCCTCTTCCTTTTTTCCTAAACGTAAAATGCATAATATAATCAACCCTGCAAAAGCATCATACGTGCCGCAAACAAACACTGCCATTTTAGAAAAGACATAAGGTATAAGGAGTGAAAGGGGAGTAGATTTACCTCTTTTGCTTTTGCTGTAGGGGGCCGGGTCTTCACGTCTGTGCCTCCTTCGGTCTCTGTCCCGGTCCCGCTCTCTGTCCCTCTCTCGTTCTCTTTCTCGCTCCCTCTCACGCTCTCGTTCACGATCCCGTTCTTTCTCAGTTCTCTCAGTCTTCTCTGCTTTGTCTTCTACAACCTCTAAAGTATTACAAACGAATGACATAATATACGTATATTTGTTAGTGTTGTGTTTAAATCTTCATACTACTTTCACATAAACTTCTGCGATTAACAAGGCTTATTCACACAACCTTACCTTTTGGCTTTTTAAATGATTTAGTTATAACTGCTGTTGGGTCATTTGGAGATAGCCAGGCAACCAAGTCACTCTCTACATTCCAGTAATATGGCAGACCACTGTAGCATAAAAAAAATTATATATATTTTTCACAACTTAACTAAGTTAGATGTTGGAAAACTAACACTTACCAAGCAGGATCGAACACTTTGTACCAGTTTGGGGGTAAATTTTCCATTCTAGTGGCTTCATAATCTACATTGTTGTCATCATAATCCTCAGCAATAATTTCTTCATCTCCCCCTGGGGAAAAACCGTTTTTATCACAGTGTAGGAAATAAACATGTTCACAATGTTTGTTCAAATGAAATAGTGTACCTTGCTCTGAAGGTTTGACGATGCCTCTTTTCGCCAGTCGAGACAGAAGAGCTGGGGGTAGAGGCATCCTGCAACCAAACAAACAAAACACTCAACTACTGTACTGTATGAGATTGGGGGAAAAAATGCAAATTACAGCCATAATTAATAATTTCACATTATAGCTTGCAATGCTCAACGTATGCGTCAGTGCAAATTGTTGTAACACATAATATACAACATTAAAGATGAGCATTTTAACTAGAATTGGCAAATGCTCTGCAAACAACCAGTGTTGTTAACATAGCACATGCCAAAGTATTCGAAAACAGAAAATCATTTGAATCAGGAAACTCCAAGAGGCAGCAGAACCTTAACGTTACATACAATGTGAACTGCAAAAAATACAAAAAAATGTAGTTTATTCACCTTTAAAAAGATCTTGTCCTTTTTTGTTGCCAAAATGCCGAGCAATGCGACACCAGACGTTTACCCGCGCGGAGTGATGATGTAGGCATCTGACGTCACCAAAACAATCATGGAGGAGTACGCTCGCGAACCCTGGTAAGTCTAATTTTTTTCATTCCTTCGTCCAGTTTAATATAAAACCTGTTTATTTTGTGTGACTTTTTAAGGTATTCTCGACACATTTAACATTTATTTTTCCTAAAGATATTAAACGAACGTAGACGATAGTGTATTCTGTTATATAACATATTCGTAAAGGCAACAATTTTAAACGTAAAATGTAAACGTTTTAAAGTCGTGTGACTGTATTATACATGATACAGTCCATGGAGGATAGTGGACGACTGCGGAGGTGCTTTCACCATGGGAGCTATTGGAGGAGGAGTCTTTCAATCCATCAAGGGGTTCCGCAATGCTCCTGCAGTAAGTGGCCTATATCCTCAATATGTTTTGAAGCTCGTTTGATCCTAATAGTAGTTTTGTCTTTAGGGTGCTGCACATAGATTGAAGAGCAGTGTACAGGCAGTGCGCATCAGAGCTCCACAAATTGGAGGTGAGAAATCCTCAGTCACGTTGCACTTTTTATGTATTTGTTCATTTATAATTGACCTATCATAGTATTTACCAAAGTTCAGTACAAATTAAGGTAAAAAATGGGTCGATATTATTGCCCCATTTAGACGAAGTTTCCTCCATACAATTCCAAAAGTAAGGCAAGGCAAGTTTACTCAAAGTGCAAGAAACATCAAAATCATAAATAATCCCGGTATACATTAACAAGAGTGATAGTATTAATCCGGTCAGAGAAGAACTCTGTCTCACATTTTCAGGAAGACTGTTCCAGATTGTAGCTGCATACATCTGAAACACTTCGTCCTCATGATTAGTCCTGACTCCTGCTGGGAGTGGCACCAGTTCCTCATAATTCTGTGCATACACTGACATCTCAAATATGATCCAAGTTGAACAAAATACTCTGATACCAATTTCATGATTTTTACCTTTTTCACATGATTTTGATTTTTTTTATGTCGCATCCCTATATATATAATTGCAAAACTTTTAATTGATCTGTTTGTGAACCAGGCAACTTTGCGGTTTGGGGTGGCCTGTTCTCGACTATTGACTGTGGGTTGGTTCGGCTGAGAGGAAAAGAGGATCCGTGGAACTCGATCACTAGTGGTGCTCTGACAGGGGCGATCCTGGCAGCACGCAGTGAGTGAAGCAACTGTAACAACACAAGACTGGAAATCCACTTTTTTTTTTAAACTTTACTTTTATTTTAGGTGGACCTTTAACTATGGTGGGCTCTGCAATGATGGGAGGATTTTTGCTTGCTCTTATTGAGGGATTTGGGATACTTCTAACCAGATATACAGCCCAACAATTTCAGAACCGTAAGTTTACAGTTTTTGTTATACATCAGATTTGTTTTGTGTTATCGTAAATTGATTAGTTTATTGTCAAATCACCACATTTGTTTTATATCTATCACTTCAATAACTTTAGAATGAATGAATGAGCAGGAATTGTATATGTTCAATTGTGTACACACGTTATATCAAAACCACTTGCATGTGAAAGCCAGATACCGTCAGACTGAAGCTAAAAAGGGAAAGGCCTGGTTAGCACTGTGATGGGAGACCTCTGGGAACACCAGGTGCCACAGTGGCGCAGCTGTAAAGTGCCAAAATGTCATTGTGTCCTGAGGCAAGACACTTTACCCACTTTGCCCTGGTATGAGTCTTGTGTGTGTGTGCGTGAACGGCTGGTGGTGGTCGGTGGGGCCAACGACACATACTAGTTGCCTCGCTTTGCTCTGTGTGCCCCAGGGCAGCTGTGGCTACAGTAGTAGTGTAAGGAGTGAATGAATAGTGAGAGTGAATTGTTTTGAGTGTCCAAAAAAGCACGATATAAAACCAATGTATTACTATTATTCTTAAAAATACATGAGATCAAACAACAAAATGCCTCTGCTCCGTTCCTTCCTTTTGAACGTGCACATGACACTGACTTTGGATTATCCACCTGTCACCTGCGCAGAAAAGTAACTCATATAACATAGAGATTAAATAAAACACTCATTCAAGGAGCTTAGTTTGGTGTATTGTGTTGCAAAGTCTGTTGTTGGAATATAAATATTACAACTCAAACAATGATGTTGGTTTGTTCTGTCTCCAGCGATGCCCTTTGCAGAGGATCCTGATCAGTTACTTCCAAAAGACAGAGGCCAAAAACATGATGAAACATATTAGTGCGAGAAACTGAAGACAGTGTGAGTAACTCCGAAGTATTTTGTGTTATTTCAGACAATCATTAGGCCATTGTGCCAACTCGCTGCTTAAAGACTTAAGAACTCAGGACAAATGTATTGAATGGACACAATATGTCAAAAGTTAAGTTGGAGTAAATGTATTGGTTGCCCTATAGCTTCTTGTATTTGCTTATTGAGAATGGGTGCAATATTGATCAATTTGTTTAATATTTATACACCAACACATGTATAGCAAAGATTTTAGATTTGAATGTTTATCAAATCTAAAAAGTCAGGCTGAAGAAGGAGTCCTATCGAGCAATGATGGTTCGTGGGACTCCTGAGGCAGCTGTCCAGTACCGGCAGGCCAAACGTGCCGCGGCCCGGGCTGTTGCAGAGGCAAAAACCCGGGACTGGGAGGAGTTCGGAGAGTCCATGGAGCATGACTATCGGTCGGCCTCGAAGAGGTTCTGGCAAACCGTCCGGCGCCTCAGGAGGGGGAAGCAGTTCTTTGCCAACACCGTGTATGGTGCGGGTGGAGGGCTGCTGACCTCGACTGGGGATATTGTCGGGCGGTGGAAGGAATACTTCGAGGTTCTCCTCAATCCCCCCGTCACGTCCCCCGTCCAGGAGGCAGAGGCTGAGGATGTTGGGGCGGATACTTCCATCTCCCTGGCCGAGGTCACCAAGGTGGTTGGCAGCCTCCATGGTGGCAAGGCGCCGGGAGTGGATGAGATCCGTCCTGACTATCTAAAGTCTCTGGATGTTGTAGGACTGTCTTGGCTGACACGTCTCTGCAACATCGCGTGGCGATCGGGGGCGGTGCCAATGGAGTGGCAGACCGGGGTGGTGGTCCCTCTCTACAAGAAGGGGGACCGGAGGGTGTGTTCCAATTATCGTGGGATCACACTCCTCAGCCTCCCCGGTAAGGTCTACTCCAAGGTACTGGAGAGGAGGCTTCGTCCGATGGTCGAATCTCGGATTCAGGAGGAGCAGTGTGGTTTTCGTCCCGGTCGCGGAACACTGGACCAGCTCTATACTCTCCATCGGATACTCGAGGGTTCATGGGAGTTCGCCCAACCTGTCCACATGTGCTTTGTGGATTTGGAGAAGGCGTTCGACCGCGTTCCCCGGGGTGTCCTTTGGGGGGTCCTCCGGGAGTACGGGGTCCGGGGTCCTCTGCTGAGGGCTGTTCGGTCCCTGTATGACCGGAGCCAGAGCTGTGTTCGCATTGCTGGCAGTAAGTCAGACCTGTTCCCGGTGCATGTTGGCCTCCGCCAAGGCTGCCCTTTGTCACCGGTTCTGTTCACTGTATTTATGGACAGAATCTCTAGGCGCAGCCAGGGGCCGGAGGGGGTCCGGTTCGGGAACCACAGGATTTCATCTCTACTTTTTGCGGATGATGTCGTCCTGCTGGCTCCAACGAACCAGGACCTGCAACATGCACTGGGACGGTTTTCAGCCGAGTGTGAAGCGGCTGGGATGAGAATCAGCACCTCCAAATCCGAGGCCATGGTGCTTGACCGGAAAAAGGTGCCTTGCCCTCTCCAGGTGGGTGGAGAGGTCCTTCCTCAAGTGGAGGAGTTCAAGTATCTCGGGGTCTTGTTCACGAGTGAGGGGAGGATGGAGCGTGAGATTGACAGGCGGATCGGTGCAGCGTGCGCAGTGATGCGGTCTCTGTATCGGACCGTTGTGGTAAAGAGGGAGCTGAGCCGAAAGGCAAAGCTCTCAATTTACCGGTCAATCTTCGTTCCCTCCCTCACCTATGGTCATGAGCTGTGGGTAATGACCGAAAGAACGAGATCGCGGATACAAGCGGTCGAAATGAGCTTCCTCCGCAGAGTGGCTGGGCGCTCCCTTAGAGATAGGGTGAGGAGCTCGGTCACACGGGAGGAGCTCGGAGTAGAGCCGCTGCTTCTCCACGTCGAGAGGAACCAGTTGAGGTGGCTCGGGCATCTGTTCAGGATGCCTCCTGGACGCCTTCCTGGGGAGGTGTTCCGGGCACGTCCCACCGGGAGGAGGCCCCGGGGAAGACCCAGGACACGCTGGAGAGACTATGTCTCTCAGCTGGCCTGGGAACGCCTTGGGGTCCCCCCGGACGAGCTGGAGGAAGTGTGTGTGGATAGGGAAGTCTGGGCGTCTCTGCTTAGACTGCTGCCCCCGCGACCCGGCAACGGATAAAGCGGAAGAAAATGGATGGATGGATGGATGTTTATCTGTAAATACTTGAAACTTTAATAAAAAGGAGAGGATGTAGAATTATTTTATATAGCGTATTTATATTTCTACAGTGTTGTGTTTATAATGCATTATGCACTTATCACCAAGCACTTTGTGAATGATGTGTCAGCCCCGTCCTGTGTCTGGTAGCATTATTTATTAAAGTCATACCCAAGTACAATTGTGATCACATTATTTCTGTCATCGTCGGTTTGTATTGTGTGGAATTAGATGATGAAAAATAAAAAACATAAAACCGTACTGTTCATGTATTTGATTTGGTCTGGGTTATAGATTAGCACAGTCCCTGAGCGCCCCCTGCTGCTCAGAGGCGGCAGCTGCAGTTTAAGGATACTGTCCAAGGTCCCGAATCTTTCGTTCGTCTTTCGTCTTTCTTTTCAGTCGCTTGAAATAGGGCTTAGCTTCACATACACGTATCTCTGCACATCAAATAAAACTGCAGAAAAGAATCTGTCAGACTTCAGAGACCTGTTCAGTGCAGAGCGTGTCCACCTTCCCCCTGTGAGATTTCCCTGTCATCCTTTTAACCGGCTCAGCTCGTCTAATCCCGCTGTCTGACCACGGCGGCTCCATGAGCGCCGTGTTTTCATCATTTTCGGCGTTATGCTGCTGCAGAGATAAGTGAAGCTAATTTTATAGTTGATAAAACTCTGAAAGATTAAGTGCATTCCACTGGATTCCTGCTTTGCAAGTGGGCTTTAGTGAAGACATGTGCGTTCCTGGTTTGTGCACCTACGCTCCTCGTGGGGATGAGAAACAGCTACCGGCTCGTGTCTTTATGACTTATTATTAATATGTGATCGGATAAATATCACAGATCATTCTAGAATCTGATGGTGGATTATTCAAATACAAAGTAATTTCACCAAACTGCGGAAATGGAAGTGGCAAAGAAAGGTAAGCACGCTTTCCAAGATGATTAAACGAGTTACATTGTTATAGTTACATTTTTTTGTTGACAAAAAACGTTTTGTACAAAGCATTAGGTATTATTGTTTGCATCTGTGTTTTATTACTTCTATTATGAGAAGTTAACAGTAGCCACGGCTTATTTAACAGGTGTTCTTGGGCCTGTACCTGGGGATAGAGCTCAGTGCCTCTGCACTGATAAAGAACTAGGTCACATCTGGTCTTAGGCATTCAGCACAGAATACCTGACCAAGTTAAGAACTTCAGATGTGTCTATTTAAGCAACATTGTGAACCAAAAAAGATTGGATGGGTCTCACAGCTGATAATGATGACCTTAAAATACAATAAACACAATAGCCTTACAATCTATGGCTGAAAGATGCTTTGCTAGTTGCTTCCCTTTACCAGCCATGGGTCTTATAATTTCAATGTTTGCATTTGCAAAACATTTGTGCAGCTTTATATTAGAAATATTGTCTTTTTTGCAGACCCAGGTGATGGAGGGAATTCGGACACCCTGGGGTCCACTGGCTCGGCCAAGAAAAGAGCAGGGGGGACCAAGAAGGCTATGCAGGCCAACAAGTCTGCTCTTCGGGCCCCCCGTGCTCTCTGCTGCCTCACCCTCAGCAACCCCATCCGCATGGCAGCCCTGGCACTGGTGGAGTGGAAATATCCTTCGCTGCTTTAATGCACCTTGAAACATGGAATATACTTGTCTAGTTGAACTGTGATGTTTGGTTATTACAGCCTTAACTGCTAATTCCAGGCCCTTTGATATTTTCATTCTTCTTGCAATTTTTGCCAATTGTGTTGCCATGGGAATTACAAAACCATACCCAGATGATGACTCCAACGCCACTAATCATCAGCTGGTGAGGCCATGACACTGTTCATGCAGAGAGACGTATTTCAGAGAGTTTTCTTGATTGTAGCTCAGACAGTGTTTGTTTGAAGCTAAAAGGTGCTGGTACTTTTACTTTGACAGCTGATGACAAAACCCCTGCCGTCTGCCATTCTGCCTCCTTCAGCACACTTGTTTTTCACCTCTGCTCCTGTCGATTGAAAGAATATCTGATCACAAAAACATTTACAGTAACTAGTAATTTAACTGCAAATTTCTGAAAAAAAGTGTAATTTGAGAGGGTAAAGGACAGCACCCACTGGCTGCAGGATGTATGGCTGGACAATCCCTTTATTGGATTTTGCAGTGAGGCTAAGCTGATAGTTGACCACACCAGTTTTGAGGGTGATGTGTTCTTTTTCAATGATCCAATTTCTGTTTTTGAAGCCTCTCATACTGGTGTTAGTCATAAATGAGGAACTACAGGAGGGTTTAAGCATGAAGTAAAGTAAGTCAGAAGTGAGACGAGTTATTGCACTTAAGGAGAGAGAGCTGCTGATGGCTTAATCCTTTGTTAGGCAGGGGGTTAAGAGTTTAAAGAGGCCACCCCAGACTTGATAATTACACACATGTAAATCCAAACATTTCACACTTATTTCAAAACATAAAAGGAGAGACCATGCTCTCAATCAAGTATTATAAGAAAGCGCTATTCATGCAGCATAACCCAACCTTCTATACAAAGACATACAGTATGAGATAAAAATAACACTCAATGTCAGAATATTTTTTTTATTTATATTTAATTCAGACACATAAAGAGTCCATAAAACACAAAACAGACAACACAAATACAGACAAATTAAAATTCAGTGTTAAAATTGTATATATTAAACTTATTTCAGCCTAGACTTAGACGATGCCAGATGAGGCCCACAGTACATCTTTAGGAAGACTGTCAGATTCTGAGAGAGGCAGCATTTCCGGTGTATGTCCCATGTTAAGTACGGACTCTGGTCACCATCAGGGTCTGAGTTGGATCATATGGCACGGACATATCACTGAAGTATTTTGATGCAAGGCCATGGAGAGACGTGTTGTCACAAAACCTCACACTATAGAGCTGTAAGTTCATCAAAGTATCCCTGGGCGGCTGAGTGGATAGCACTCTCGCTTCTCAGCAAGAAGGTCCTGAGTTGGAATCCCGGTCGGAACAGGGCCTTTCTGAGTGGAGTTTGCATTTTCTCCCCGTGTCTGCGTAGGTTTCCATCGCGTGCTCTGGTTACATTTTAAATTGTAACAAAGAAGTAAAAATTTTTCAAATCTTCTGTTTATTCATTCCCTAATTTCACTCCAAGAACAGAAACACACCTTGATTTCACTTTAGTTCTTGCTTTAGTGGATTCAAAATGAAATACACATATACTTTGTGAAAAATTGACGATCCTAGTAAGCTATGTAGAGCTAGATGTGGTCATGACTCCATCTACAGTATAAGCTCCTAAAATTACTAATTACCAGAATTAATAAATCATCTTTAATTACAGCCCAATTTCACCATTTATCCATGTGACTTTTCTCTCTGCCCAGGAACAAGTGGAGTATGTCTTCCTCGTCATCTTCACCATTGAAACCTTTACAAAGATCCTGGCGTATGGTTTGGTCATGCACCCCAGCGCCTACATCAGAAGCGGATGGAACTTACTGGATTTTGTGATCGTCATTGTGGGGTATAATAATAGCTCTTCATACTGCAACATCGGCAGCAGATTTAACCTTGGTTTGATCGTTTGGCTTTGCTTTTTCAGTTTGTTCAGTGTGATCGCAGAGGGTATGACAGACCATAAACCAGGAGAAGCTCACCACGCTGCAGGGAAGCCGGGTGGCCTGGATGTCAAAGCCCTCAGAGCATTCAGAGTGTTGAGACCGCTTCGCCTTGTATCAGGAGTGCCTAGTATGTATTGATCATTTTACTTTTATTGTATTTTTTTCCCCATGTGAAGCATCTTTGAGTGTCCAAAAAAGCGCTATACAAGTTTGATGTATTGTTATTATTATTATTTGTGTAAATAATCAACCAGACCATGATGCATTAGGCCAACATGAGCCGTTTCAGTGAAATGTTTTGGTGGATAAGATAAGATGGGTGGTTGAGTGGAGAGCACTCTCACTTCTCAGCAAGAAGGTCCTGGGTTCGAATCGCAGTTGGAACAGGGTGGAGTTTGCATGTTCTCCCTGTGTCTGCGTAGGTTTCCTCCGGGTGCTCCGGTTTCCCCTGCCACTAAAAACATTCACAATAGGTATGAATGTAAATAAGAAAGTGAATGGATGGTGTTGATTGGAGGCCATGTGTGAAGTGATTGGAACAATATTCGAACTTTGAACAATGTAAAGCGCTTTGGGTGACCTTGGTCTGTAAAAATGCGCTATATAAATAAACATTACTTACTTACTATAAGATAACATAAGAAAACCTTTATCTGTCCCACAGTGGGAAAATGACTGACAGTAGTAAGCGCTCACAAGGAACACACAAAAAAAATAAAGATTCTGAAATGGCAGTATTGCAGATGATTACAGTATTTACTATTTTCAGAGATCATCACATAAACAGGCTCAGCAGTTCTCATTGTACAGTCTGACAGAAGCAGGGAAGAAATATAATTTGGTGTAAAAGTATAATTTATGATACTGGTAGAATGCATCTTTTGCCTTTAGTATTGTGGGCTTCTAACAAATGGTGCGGTAATGGTTCAAGCTGAAGTACAGAGCTATTATAGACATTTTTTATTTTTTTTGTCCAAACAGAATGAATTTTGTAAAAGTAAAACCTTATTAGAAATATGTTATTTTTTTTCATAAGATCCCTGTGAGTCACTATTTACCTCTTTGGGCTGAGTGCTGATTGGTTGAATGAGGGTGCTCCTCTCTTTTTCACTTTTATGTCTGAAAACGATGACCTAAAGATGTGACAAGGGGGAAAGTTAGATGGATTTATATTACATAGTTCCAATTATGGTTTTAAAGATACCCCAGCTTTAATGGTCCGTAAAGTAGAAAGAGGGCTATGAAATATGAGGGTCTGCTCGTCCTAAAATATTGTATGTAATTGTTTGATTTTCTTGCCAGGTTTACAGATTGTGTTGAACTCCATCATGAAAGCCATGGTTCCCCTTCTTCACATCGGAATGCTGGTCATGTTTGTGATCATCATTTATGCCATTATTGGTTTGGAGCTTTTCATCGGCAGAATGCATAAAACGTGCTTCTCTACAACCTCCGGTAAGTTTTCCAATGAGTGCCCCTCGCCTCTTGTTGTCATAGTTACTGATTCTCACTGAGTAATTGGCTTAGAGTACAGACAGTGGCACTGGAAGGTTCGCACAACCCAACTTTTCTGTCTATTGTTTTCTATCTTCATGTTATGCTCACTTGGCTCGGTGGCTGAGTGGATAGCACTCTCGCCTCTCAGCAAGAAGGTCCTGGGTTCGAATCCCGGTTGGACCAGGGCCTTTCTGGACCAGGGCATGTTCTCCCCGTGTCTGCGTAGGTTTCCTCCGGGAACAAATGCTCAAAAAAATTATAACAATTGTAAACCACTTTGAGACTCTGATCGGCAGTGAAAAGGCGGTCTATAAATAAAGATTACTTACTACTTACTTACAGAACAACAGAAACTAAAAATGTGCTATATAGTCCAGCAAGTACAGTCATTTGAAGACATATAACATTTTACAACCATATAAATCTTCACATATGAGTGAAAAACTCATTCATTGCCAGGTATCATTTCTCATCTCCAAAATATAACCAAAAGAATGAAATATCTGGCTGGGTGTGTAAACTATCAAGCACAACTGTAAATACTATATACAGTACATTTGGAGAAAGTGGTGAGTAAGCTCTCATTAAAAACATTCCAAAACTTCACTGTACAATTCTTCTTCCTCTGTATAATATAAGATCATTTTAATAGTATTTGGTTAATGTTCCATGTATCTAGGCCCCAAAATAAAGCCCGGAACATAAAAGGATAATGTGTGGGATTTTGTTATCCTCATGAGTAACTTTCTAACCGCTGTTACTGCTCTGTCATTAATATGTAGCTAAAAACATAATACTGCGACAACAGTGAATGAAAGATACAAACCGACATCGCAGCAGAATAATTCTCCCCTTCTTGTTCTTTCATTCTCATCACACTGCTCTTCAAAATGAAACAGTCGATTCTTGCATGTTTTGGCGTTTGAAAACAGTATTTGCCTTAAAACTCATGAGTCAATCAAGTGCTGCACAGACAAAAAAGCACAATAAAAACACATAAAAAAAATATATTTAATCACGCAAAGAAACCTAAAACTAGCCTCATTCTGCTTTGCTTTTGTGTTGTGTGCGGTGCAACTCGAGTCTAGACATCGCCTGGTCTTGTTTTTACCCTATTTCTTTGGTGTCTTTGTCCAGGTGTAGTTCCGTTTAGCTAATTTCCAATCTTTTTTCTTGGACAGGTTTGTTTATAGAAGACGATCCGTCCCCATGCGCTTTCGCTGGGAGTGGGCGCTTCTGTGTGGGCAACGGGACAGAATGCAGGGGCAAGTGGGAGGGGCCCAACGGCGGCATCACAAACTTTGATAATATCTTCTTTGCCATGTTGACGGTCTTCCAGTGCATCACAATGGAGGGCTGGACCGACGTTCTCTACTGGGTAATTACTATATTTCTGCATCACCTGCTTCAATCACAGCACAGAAGGAAACACACCCTTTATCCTTTATTATCCTTACTATATTTTGTTTTGATTTATAATTATTTTTGCTGAGCTTTAAAGGAGCAATATTTTAACTGTTCAGAAGATATACTGCTTTCCCCATTATTATAGAAATCAGGATACCATATTTGTGTATCTGTATTTGGAATATAAAACTGTTTCTTTTTGTAATCAGAACACACTTACTTTTTGAACATTTAATATATATTGATTATTTCTTTTGTAATTTTCAAGATATTTTACAAAAAGCAAATCAAAATGTCTCTTTTAGGCATGTATGTGAGTGTGTAAAATATGTATCTAATTAATGTATAATACATGTATTTTAAAAATTACATAATTCATTGCAACCCTAACTTCAATCGTACTTCAGATATCAAAGTTATGTTAAATAGATTTTTCCCATTAAGTAAATATTACTTGTTTATTGTAAGTTTATTTAAACCTTGGGTATATCACTCAGAGTTTTCTTTGAATTGAACTGTCTCTGTTCAAGTAAGCCTCACTTTTGACATTCTGAGGTGAAGACTCTTTAATAAGGCAATGATAGGGTGGCCCGGTGGCTGAGTGGGTAGCACCGTCACCTCTCAACTACAAGGTTCTGAGTATGAAGCCCAGTTGGAGCATAAGTTGAAATTTAAACTTTATTGCAATCACTTGTGTTTACTTGGTAATATCAAGTAAAGGATGTACTCGAAGAATTCAAGTGAAGTTAATATGCAATTTATTTCCATGGTTTTTTCAAGTAAACTTTACTTGTCAGGGTTTACAGTGCATATTAAAACACAATATTATAATGCAAATGAGCAAAATAGTATCCAAGTATTCAGACTACAGCTCTCTAATTTGACCTGGTAGCGGAATAAAAAAAAAAAAACATTATAAAGCAGGTTTTCTGTATTTTTCAGCATCGTCCACAACCCAACCTATAACTATCATGTGTTTCTCTACAGATGAATGATTCTATTGGCATGGAGATACCTTGGATTTACTTTGTTTCCCTCGTCATATTTGGCTCGTTTTTCATTATCAACCTCGTTTTGGGTGTGTTGAGCGGGTATGTCGTTATTTATTGTACTCTAAACACAGTGATTGTGGACCCGATACTGAAATAGTTTCTTTCCCCATCAGAGAGTTCTCCAAAGAAAGAGAAAAGGCTGTGGCTCGTGGTGAGTTGCAAAAAGCCCAAGAGAGTAAACAAATGGAAGAAGACATGATCGGCTACATGGACTGGCTCATAGAAGCGGAGGATGTGGACGAAGAAGGGAATAAACGTAAGACTTAAAGGAGCTATACCCGTTTCTGCAAGGTTTGAATGTTTAGCACCGCCCCCCAACTCGCTTACAGGTCTCTATTTCCCCTACGCTCTCATCCTACGGAGCCATCTAGTTTTATTTGCGATCTGATACGTATGCTAACATTAGCTTTAGTACAACTAAATCTGTACAACAATCACTGATGAAATGGTACAAAAGCAACGCACTGCTAACAAAATATATAACTGAAAAATTACTGCTAGTTTTGCGTCCGAATGTGGTCCGAGCATGGATAATGACTCTGGTCTGGTCTGGTCTGGAAAAACTGAAAAATACTCAGTACTTGCCGCCTCTGAGATTAATGCTGTAGAGTGAAATAACCAGACCTTTAAAAAGTAGTCAATAGAGAGATTGCATAATTCATAATTGCAATCTTTAAAAGTAGCCACTATATATAAATACTAAAGATAGATGGTTATATTAATGAGGCGTCGATGTGTTGTTCCTGCATCAGATTGTGAGCTTTCAACCCCCAAATGTAAAATAGTCAAGTTTGAGCACTTTTTATCTTTCCCCAGTCAAAACTGAAAAAGACCTGTTGTGGAATTTTTGTACAAAGCAACAGCATAAATAAGGAAAATGAAAATAAACAACCAAGAGCTGTAATACAATCAAAGCCTGGTTTATTAATGTCAGTAAATGTTACATATACAAGAAATGCAACCGTCAAAGTGCATAATGCATTGTTGATTCACTCATAATTCAATATTGATAAGTCTGATTTCTATAACAGACCAAATAATGCTTTTTGGGACATTCAAAGACGTTTTACAAAAGGACAGGTTGAAAAGAGGGAAAAAAAATCTAATCTTATATTCTCAATTAGTTATTTTAGTCATCAGCTGGTGGTTCTATACTACATATTCTCATCCTATCCTTTGTCACTTTCTTCAGGTGCTGCGATCGCGAAGAAGAAGATGATGAAGAAGTTTGGCTGGTACAAACGCAGCGAGGATGGCGGAGGTCTGTATCACCGTCACACGGGTCTCTACATTTACTTTAAAGGAGGTTTGTAACAGTCTGCTCATGTGTGTTTTCATGACAGAGTCCGACTCCGACGACGATATCGCTTACCTCGACGATGACAACGGCTTCTGTGCTTCTCTCATGTAAAACCACTTTCAAATCTTTCACTTTCACCATGTTGGTTTTCTTTATCACATGGTCGTTTTGTCTCCGCAGGGCAAAGATGATGGCCAACAGCTTCTGGTAAGAGAAAAGATTAGAAAAAATGCTTTAAGTTCTGATTTATCTTTTCAATTATCCAGCCCAATTAGCCTTCTATTGATGTGTTATTTATTGACTATACCCCAATTGTGTACTGTAAATACCATGATTATATTACCCCTGTGCAGTGACCAGTTGTGCCAGCTCAACCACACTATGAGAAAGAACTGTCGGGTCGCAGTGAAAACCACAAACTTCTATTGGCTGGTGCTGCTGCTGGTGTTCCTCAACACCGTGGCCAGCGCCTCAGAGCACTACGGACAGCCCAAGTGGCTCACCGAGATGCAAGGTCAGAGTCCAGAGAGATTCAAATATCGACTAGTGACCTTTGAGGTAGGGAGGCAAAGTCTGAAGATAAGTCGTACAAGCTACAGTCTATAGCAAAACATTATTCATGCTTTGGAGATTTTTTTCTAAAGATCAAATCACCAACTAAAATTATGACCAGCACTTTAGAACCAAACATACTGTATGTACCATATATAGTGATATAATGTTTGCAGATGGGCTGGGAGACATTGGTATAAACCTTCTTGACAATCTCCAGAAATTAAACTCAAACCAGGCTAAAAGTGGTTTCTACTGATTAATGTCACATCTGTTGTATTTTCTTTGATATAGAACACTGACCTTTTTGGACAGTTTTTATTCCACAATGGGAATAAACCCAGTAATACATTATCCAGAGGGCTCATCTATAAAACGTATATGTAATTGTTCCACATAGACTTTCCAAGTTAAGTCTGTGATTTATGAGAAGACAACTTAACTTAAAATGTGTGAGTTAAATGTCTGAAGACAATGTGATCTCTGCCAAAAAATGTGATAAGGGAAAAGGTTGTGAAAGTTTTTATCCTGTTTGTACGTATATGTGAAGTATTATAAGTGAAATACCAGATGTCTCTTTGCTTCAATCACTAGTTTTCACATCCATGAGTTTTTGGCCTCTGTCACAAAGTACTTTTGAATAATTGTTTTGAATTCTGTATCTGTTTTGCTTCCAGAACGAGCCAATAAGATCCTGCTGCTGCTCTTCACTCTGGAGATGCTGATGAAGATGTATGCGTTTGGGCTGCAGATCTACTTCATGGCCTTGTTTAACCGCTTCGACTGCTTCGTGGTGTGCGGCGGGATCCTGGAGCTGCTGCTGGTCGAGATGGAGGTCATTCCTCCCATCGGCATTGCGGTGCTGCGCTGCATCCGCCTGTTGAGGATTTTCAAGATGACTCGGTGAATATCCATCTTTTCATCCTTGATTCCAGAAGTGATGTCACAAGACCATCATTTCAATACTCCATTCAATACTAAGGAAAAGTCCAGTCTGCTCTACTCTACTCCAGTCTGCTCTACTCTACTCCAGTCTGCTCTACTCTACTCCAGTCTGCTCTACTCTACTCCAGTCTGCTTTACTCTACTTTAGTCTGCTCTACTCTTCTCTACTCTATTCTATTCTTCTTTGCTCTGCTCTACTTTACTCGACTCTTCTGCAGCTTTTCATGGCACATTTTGAGGACTTATTCCTCTTTGCATTTCTTCTGGTCTCTTGTTAATGTTTTATTAGTCTTTGTCAATGTAGATTTTCCTGTTTTTCCTGGTTCATTTCTTTTGTTTGTAGCCACTGGGCGGCACTGTCAGATTTGGTCAACTCTCTGCTGAACTCCATGAAAGCTATCTGCTCCCTGCTGCTGCTGCTCTTTCTCTTCCTCATCATCTTTGCGTTGCTGGGGATGCAGTTGTTCGGAGGCAAATTCAACTTCGATGAAACTCAGATGAAGAGGAGCACGTTTGACTCCTTCCCTCAGGCCCTGCTCACATGTTTCCAGGTTACTGTACTTTGATTTTTCATGACATTTCTGCTATTGTTATGGCAATATTCACCCTGGCAACCGTTGGTATGGCAATCACTATGGCAATTTTTACCATGGCAACCATCACTATGGCATATGTTGCTTTGGAAGTAGTCACCATGGCAACCGTTGCTATGGCAATAGTCACCATGGCAACCGTTGCTATGGTTATAGTTCCCATGGCAACCGTTGCTATGGCAATAAGTAGCAAGAAATAAACAAGATAGTCATTGCCGTAGTGATTGCCATAGTAATGGTTGCCATGGCAATCACAATGGAAACTACCATGACAACCAGCCCTATGACAACTGTAAACAAACTCCCAAGTTGCAAGAAATTAGCATTAAAGCAAGATTCCAACCGTTGCGTCACTATGGCAACTGTTGCTATGGCAATAGTCACCATGGCAACTGTTGCTATGTCAATAGTCACCATGGCAAGAATTGCTATGGCAATCACTATGGCAATTGTTACCCTGGCAACCATCACTATGGCATCTGTTGCTATAGAAATAGTCACCATGGCAACTGTTGCTATGGCAATAGTTACCCCGCTAACCGTTGCTATGGCAATATTCACCATGGCAACCGTTGGTATGGCAATCACTATGGCAATTTTTACCATGGCAACCATCACTATGGCATCTGTTGCTTTGGAAGTACTCACCATGGCAACCGTTGCTATGGCAATAGTCACCATGGCAACCGTTGCTATGGCAATAGTCACCATGGCAAACGTTGCTATGGCAATAGTCACCATGGCAACCGTTGCTATGGCAATAGTCACCATGGCAACCGTTGCTATGGTTATAGTCCCCATAGCAACCGTTGCTATAGCAGTAAGTAGCAAGAAATAAACCAGACAATAAATAAACCGTGGTCTAGGTAACAGCTGCCATGGAAACAGTTGCCATAGTGATTGCCATAGTAATGGTTTCCATGGCAATCACAATGGAAACTACCATGACAACCAGCCCTATGACAACCATCTCTATGACAACTGTAAACAAACTCCCAAGTTGCAAGAAATTTGCATTGAAGCAAGATTCCAACCGTTGCGTCACCATGGCAACTGTTGCTATGGCAATAATCACCATGGCAACTGTTGCTATGGCAATAGTCACCATGGCAACTGTTGCTATGGCAATAGTCACCATGGCAACTGTTGCTATGTCAATAGTCACCATGGCAACAATTGCTATGGCAATCCCTATGGCAATTGTTACCCTGGCAACCATCACTATGGCATCTGTTGCTATAGAAATAGTCACCATGGCAACTGTTGCTATGGCAATAGTTACCCCGCTAACCGTTGCGATGGAAATAATCACCATGGCAACAGTTGCTCTGGCAATCACTATGGCAATTTTTACCCTGGCAACCATCACTATGGCATCTGTTGCTATAGAAATAGTCACCATGGCAACCGTTGCTAAGGCAATAGTCACCATGGCAACCGTTGATATGGTTATAGTCCCCATGGCAACCGTTGCTATGGCAATAGTCACCACGGCAACCGTTATTAAGCCAATAGTCACTATGGCAACCTTTGCTAAGCAAATTTCACCATGGCAACTGTTGCTTTGGCAATAGTAATCATTGCAACCATTGCTATGGAAATCACTATGACAAAAATGTAATATTATTATTTGATTTTTGTCAGATTTTGACCGGAGAGGACTGGAACGCGGTCATGTACGATGGCATCATGGCGTACGGAGGCCCCATATTCCCAAACATGGTTGTGTGCATCTACTTCGTCATCCTCTTTGTCTGCGGCAACTGTATCCTTCTGTCAAATTTTCAATTAGATGTTCAAAATTTCAACAAGATGTTCAAAATCACACAACAGTACAGTTTTATATCACTGCGCTGCCGAACGGAACGTTTAAGAGATCCTTTGTTCTTTTGGCTGTCAGACTGTACAACAGACCTGGATGATTCTTCTGCAGCTGGACACCTGAATTTCTCCTTCAGGGGATCAATGAAGTATTTATCTATCTATAAAATACTCATATCAGTTTTATTACCAAGCAAGTAAAAGCCCATGTGAGTGCTTTCCTGGGTTTGATTTTTACTTTGAGTGCAGTTTGTATGTTCTCTGCCAAGTGCTCCGGTCTCCCATACCACTAAAACACATATACAATAGCTCCATGGGGCTCTTTCTGGGGCCGAACTCTTCGAAAAATTACATTCTGAAATCACAGTGCAACTATTTAAATAAATCATAGTCAGTAATTCATAATTTGTTTTTTCATCAAAACAAACAATAACGTAAAAACAAGTCTAGCAGGCTGAAGTCAGAAAAACCAAAAAAATTAGCTTCAATGTGAGGTGCTGTCCACACACAGACAGATGCTGCTTTCTTGGACACAGCTCTCTCAGCACCGTTCAATCACAGCATTAAAAACACAATTTCACAGAATTAGATACAATTGGATTGGATAGAATTAGAAGCGTAGTTAATTTGCTTGTCATTGGTAAGGTGTTTCCTACCTAAAAAGTCGGTGAGTGGTGGAAATTGGCCTGTAAGAAAGTGTGTTCTGTAAAACCATTGTCTTTCCACTGAGAATTTGCAAACTCAAAACCATGCTAGAAACGTTTGATTTCCAAAAAATACACACAAATATTAGTATAATGTTCTTAATTTAATGTTCTTAATTTCAATAACCAGACATCTTGTTGAATGTGTTCTTGGCTATCGCTGTGGACAACTTGGCAGGAGGTGGTGGCAAAACGGTCGTAGAGTGAGTCCGGTTTCATGTTTTAGAATGGAATCTGCTTTAAAAATTAAAACGGTTTATGAATGTGGCATGTTGTTAAAGGCTGTTGTTTTTTCCACAGGGAGAAAAAGGATGACGATGAAGAGTGGGATGACGACGAAGGGAAAGAAGACGAGGACGCAGGGGTAAGAGTGAAAGGAAAAACTAGTAGGTTCACCAAAAAAAACTTAATTTAAAGCTAGGGTACCTTACAGATAATATATGTACAGTAGTGAAAGACTCTTGGATATTATGGAGTGGAAGTTATAATTTATGAACAAATTAGAACACAGCACAAGAGCCCTGTGAGTCTCTATTTGACGCTTTGGGCTGATTGCTCGATCGATTCCATGACATAAATTCCGTTTTTAGTGGTTTGAGAGATAGGTACCCCAGCTTTAATCAACCATAGATTTACATGGGCCTTTACATGCCAAAAGAAAACCACTGTGAACAGAATTACAAAAATAAACAGCAATACACAGGGACTGGACTCCTGCTGGTGCCCAGAGCGAGAACTAAACATGGGGAGGCAGCGTTTCATATTTATGCTGCTAAAATCTGGAACAGTCGTCCTCAAAATGTGAGACAGGCTTCTACTCTGACAATGTTCAAATCCAGGTTTAAAACGTTTTTCTTTGGCTGTGCATGTAACTGAAGGATTTTTTTGTTATTACTAATGATGTAATGTTTCTGTTCTTGTTTTGAGAAGCACTTTTAGCTCCATAAGAGTCAGAGATCCTTTTATTCGTCCCATACTGAGGAAATTCCAGTGTTGCATTAACAGTAGGAATGAAAAGCACACCGCACTATACTAAATAAAATAAAAATCTCTAACGTTAGCATGAGGAAGTCATCTCAATCTTCAGCATAGTGAGTAGAAAAAACTCTGACTTGATCATATTAAAGAAGTATAGTATTAGACATTTTAGACAGATGAGCTGAAATTAATAAGCTGCTGTGTTATATAAATTAACTCTCCTTTCCTTCCACAGTTTGACACATTTGATTTACCATCCATAATTCTTTCCACACAGAACGAGGAAGACGACTGGCAGGATAGCGAGGCGCTCTCTGCCATCGAGGGACTGGAAGGTGAGCTTTGATGGCAACACAAACATAATTTTCCACTTTTGTCTGCACTTTTTGCCTTAACTCTTTTCTTCCTTTCCAGGAGTTGCACCAATGAAACCAGAATTCTCAGGACCCAAAGAGAAGATTGTACCAATCCCAGACGGAAGCTCCTTTTTCCTCCTAGGAAAGAAAAACTGGTAAAAACACACACACAAACTTCCGCTAAATAATATTATGTTTTTTGTTGTTGTTGTTTTTATTTATTTTGTTTTTTAAATTGTTTGTGTTTTTCCCGTGCACAGTTTGCGTGTCGCCTGCCATAGCTTCATCCATCATCCGTATTTCACAAACTTCATCCTCGTCTTCATCATCCTCAGCAGTATCTCTCTCGCTGCTGAGGACCCCATCAAATCCCATTCTTTCAGAAACATTGTAAGACTTTATCATTCTTCATTTCATCTCATAGGTCTAAAATGTCTACTTCCCTCTTTTTCTTGTCTCTCTAATTGCCCATGTTCTCACGGCCCACAGGTTTTGGGGTACGCCGATTACGTTTTCACCTCCGTTTTCACGGTGGAGATTGTCCTTAAGGTAAAATATTGTTTATATCAGACATGTCCAAAGTGAGGCCTGCGAGCCAAAAGCGGCCAACTTAAACTCTGCCAATATAGGCTCGTTATACCTCACTTAAAAGCTCTGGACTTCTGAAAACCAAATCGATAGCTATATTCGACTGCGAAATTAGTTTTTGATTGTATGGCGCTTCTGTATCTGAGTGACGTTGGTCATTCAGCTAATTTCAGCTCGTCAAATATGAACCAAAACAGACATTTATACCCCGTTTTGAAGCTCAGAACAGCCTGAATCCAGCCATACCTTGTTACTGGCCCCTGGACAATATTGATGAACTAAAGCGGCCCTCTCACTAAAAGATCTGGACATCCCTGATTTGAATAAAACATGTTGTGTAATGGTTTTGTTTACTTGAGGCACACATGCATCATTACATTATACTTTGTTTATTGGTAACCTCATCTAAAAGTAGTTTAAAGGAGACGTATTTTTTGTAAATCGTGTTAAAACAATGTTTCCTCATCAATAACTGACCTGGAGTTGTGTTTACAAACTAACATCAGGAACTTCAGGCACAAACATGTAACTCTGCCCCTTCTGTCTGCCGTCCTGTAACAGTATGTTGTCATTGTGCCACTATGACATCACATTCAGAGCAGTTGTCTGACAATTAAAATAGTAAAATAGTTTGGCCATTTCTCAGGTGAAAAAACACTCTTTACAATTGCAGGCCAGGGTAATTTTCAAATTTGTAAAACAGCAAATTCAACTCCCTCTGGGGGTAGCATAGGGAGCTACTGGTAGAAATCAGTAGTTGGTAGAGCGTGTATCCTCTCATTGGTGATTGCTGCTTTGTGTCCTTGGGCAAGACACTTCACCCTCCTGCTCCTGTCTGGGTACTACACTGGTGTGTGGATGGGTGATGGTAGAAAAGTGCACTGTAAATGTGACCAGTGACTTAAAAGTGCAGGTTGAGGTCAGGTTTTAGAACATGTCTCTGTTCAGATGACGGTGTACGGCGCCTTTTTGCACGAGGGCTCGTTCTGTAGAAATGCCTTCAACCTCCTGGATTTGCTGGTCGTCGGTGTCTCTCTCACCTCCTTCTTTCTACAGTAAGTTTTGCTCCATTATTCAATGTCTTATCATCCTTTTAAAATATAGCGCTATTATGTAAGTTGACTTTTCTGTTTTTTTCCCTCAGCTCAAGTGCCATTTCTGTGGTGAAGATTCTCCGAGTTCTGCGTGTGCTCAGGCCTCTGCGTGCCATCAACAGAGCCAAGGGATTGAAGGTTTGTGGAATATTTACTAATTTCTGACAATGATTATATAAAAACTACTATAAAGTGTTCTGTCGTTACTGCTGCCTGCTTTCTGGCTGAAATGTTACAAAAACAATCCCTCAAAAGCAGGCCTGTCCAAACCATGGTCTGCGGGCCAATTGCGGCCCTCTTCGTCATGTTATGTGTCCCGCTGCCGCTAACACAAAGCAATGTTTGAGATCATAAACATACAGTATCATCCAGCCGACTTCAGCTCCACCAATATGGACTCGTTCTCCTTATACCTTATTACCGTATTCTGAATTCTTCTTAGTCTGACTTCAATCAAAAGCGATTTATCATTTATGTGGTCGGCCCCTGGACAATTCTGGTGGCCCTCTTACTGAAATGTTTGGCCCTAAATGTACTGGACAGGTTTGAGAAGGCCTTTTTGTTTGTTGTGTTTAAATTATGGACTATTGTCACTGTGGGAAATACACAGTGTAAAGGGTATTATACTGGTGGCAATAACGTTTTGACTGTGTTTCCAGAATGTGGTGCAGTGTGTATTTGTGGCCATCAGAACCATCGGAAACATTCTCATTGTCACCACTCTGCTTCAGTTCATGTTTGCGTGTATCGGAGTCCAGCTTTTCAAAGTGAGTTTTTCATTCATAGTTTTCTTGCCTTTTTTTCTTGCCACTCTTCCTCATAACATGGACAGAAAGTAATGAATGTTTACAACATTGTTGTCTCGCCTAAGACAGAAACAGGGTTGTTTTGGGGCGTCATCTACATCAGGGCGGGGCAATTATTTGCCTCCGGCGGGCACATTGGGATATTGTCATATTGGGGCCGGACCCAGTTTCGCATGGTTATCATTTTGTCAAATTTAGCAAAACATAATAATTCTGTTCATTAAAAAATAAAAAATATAGAAGGGGAAGGAAACATTAAGCCAAAAATATCCAGTGTTTTCTGTTTGCGGCTGGTTTAAGTTTTTTTGAGAAAACTAGAATTTTATTGATAATGCGTTTCAATATTGTTTTTTGGTTTTGTGTGGATTGAACCGAAACTGAACCAAAGGTAAAAATGGCTGGATAGTATAGACTGTGTTACAAATTCATATTTTTGACAATTTATTACTGGGAAGGGTCAGGGGTAGCATAGAAACATGAATAGGACCTTATGTGGCCCTCAGGCCGCAGTTTTCTCAGTTCAGATCTACATCAAAATGAGTCCCCCCGCCCCATCTGTCTTAATACATGGACAGAGCTGTTGAAGTATTGCTTTTCCAAATCAGTGGTGGGAATTTCTCAAGTCAAGTTACATTCTTTACAACAGTGTGTTTTTGATTAAATGGAAAGAAGAGTTCTAGATGGCAGTGCTTTCCTAGAAGTGAAAATTTTCAAACCTGGTTTGTGGGATTTGTTACCCATAACAAAACTGCCCATGAAATAAACCATTCATTTTTAAGAAACTTTTTCAAATAAAATAGAACACATTTATTATGAGTGGTTTTGCATGCATTATGGGAGATAAGCCAGATAACTGTATTACATGAATATTATACAGTTCAAATATACATGTCATGGGCAATCTGCAATCATACATTATTGTAATCTTTCACTTGCATTTGCCCAGCTGGGTATATGTAACTTTATAGTTGTTTTGTATGAACAATCTGAATGATCTGTTCTTATGTGTTTTTTTTTTTCAGGGGAGGTTTTATAGCTGCACAGATGAAGCCAAACAGACGCCCGATGAATGCAAGTCAGTACCTTTTATATTGTCTTTTTCATTGTTCTGAGAATAATTAGTTTTTTCTGCATGTGCAAGCCTTATCTCACAAACTAGCATGGTGTTGGGAGATATCTGGAAACAACAGGGGTGGTGGAGGTTGTCATTGTGTCCTTAAGCAAGACACTTCACCCACGTTGCCTTGTATAAGACTGGCATGTGTGAATGATTGGGGAGTAGTTGTTTAAGGCTTTGTTTCAAGGTCCTCCCATCCTGTACTTACAAAAATATCACATTGCGGTTTGAGCCCTACTTCAAACCTTTTATGGAAATTCCTACACTTGTACTTCCATTCCCTCCTTCAGATTATTCCACAAACAACTCCCCACACACATCCGGACACACATTGGTTTGAGTCTTTCTCTGTTATAAATGTCTTCACATGATGTCCTCTGCTTCTAGGGGCACATTTGTAGTGTATAAAGACGGAGACATGGCCCACCCCATGGTCAAAGAGAGAATCTGGGAAAACAGCGACTTCAACTTTGACAATGTTCTCATGGGGATGCTGGCTTTGTTCACCGTCTCCACGTTCGAAGGCTGGCCCCAGTGAGTAGCAAAATGATACAGTTACACACCAGAGCGAGGCGTCATCATATGTATGTAAGCAAAAGCAAACATGTATTGAATTAAATATACAGGTATCTAATTTTTCTAAATCTAGTTCAATTATTATATTGGTGCTCTGTGTACTGGGTGCAGCTCTGACTGCCACCCCCCTCCCCCCGACCCAGAAAGGGATTAAGGGGAAGAAAATGGATGGATGGATATTTCAATTCTTCCTTCTTTTTTTTTAGAATAAATTATTGATTTTATATATCTATGGATCTGTTTAATTTATGCTTTATTTTTTCAAGCTGCTTTTGTTTTTTATATTTTTATTTTTTGCTGACATGACATTCACTTGCAAAAATAAGTTTCAGTTTTTATGCACTAGAAGTTTTAGTTTTCATTTTTTTGTTACAAAAGGGTAATAGAGTAAAGGGTAAAGAAGGTATTAGAGCAGTACTAACAGCTATCATCCTCATGAGGTCAGAATGTGCTACAAAAGGTGTTTTTCTCTCATAGAAACAAAAACTTTACTCATAAAACTCATAAAAACTTTTTTCCTTAATTTTGTGCTGTTCAAACAAAGTGGATTGTGTTGGATCCTCAAAAATAACAAAAGTATCTTTGACACAATGATAATAATTGTGAATCACTTCAAAAATAAGGGAATGTTTTTTGTCTCAAATGTAAAAAGGAGAAGTCTATGAATACATTGTGTCTCCCACAATAGAAACCATTTTGATCTCTCACCGTCATGGCTTTCTGTCTTGGCACAGACTCCTGTACCGAGCCGTAGACGCCAACGCCATAAACCGCGGCCCCATCTACAACTACAGAGTGGAGATCTCCATCTTCTTCATCATCTACATCATCATCATCGCCTTCTTCATGATGAACATCTTTGTGGGTTTTGTCATCATCACGTTCAGAGAGCAAGGGGAGGCCGAGTTTAAGAATTGTGAGCTGAACAAAAACCAGGTTGGTCTCTGCTCACACATTGTGCTTATCCTCACAGAAAGAGCCCAGAGAAAGCAACCGTCTGGGAACAAAACTTGATTTTGAAATTTAGATAAGAGCCTTGTATGTCAATATATGCCAATATATGCCACTTTGGGCTGAGAGCTGATTGGCTGAGCAGTTATCTGTATTATCATAAGGAAAGTTACTTATTTTGCGGAAATTAGTCTAACTTGTACTGATAGTTCTGGTTTGAAATGCAATGTTATGATAAATGGATAGGTCTGGCTGCTTATATCATTTCAAGAAATATTTATCTGGAGCTGGAAATGTAATGGTTCAATATCAGTGTTTTTAAAATCTATTAAAAAACCAATACAGAATGATTCAGGTTTTCAGCTTTTGCAGTGTGAATCATATTTTTAGCTCTTTCAGTGCCGTGAATGTGAACAGTCTACTTCAAACTCAAAGATTTTCAACAGAATGGACCAATTTGAACCCACGTTGACACATTTTGGTTTATGATTTTACTTTCTTTAATGGACAAAGAGATTATTTGGATTCAGAAAACTTTATTGATCCCAAAGGGCAACTATTTTACATGAGAATCTCAGAGCAGAACACACAGACGCAGCAGCAGGTTTACAATATAAGTTAAAACAATACATTTAAATACACAACAATTCCCAAAAGTCAAACACCTCCACCAGAGATGAAATGTATTAAAACATAAATGCATACTTTTGTGCTTTTGTCCCCACACAGCGCCAGTGTGTGTACTACGCCCTGAAAGCTCAGCCGATCAAAATCTACATCCCCAAGAATCCTTCGCAGCTAAAATTTTGGAGAATCATCAACTCCAGCCAGTTTGAATACATAATGTTTGTGTTGATCCTGGGGAACACCCTGACGCTGGCTGTGCAGGTAAAACACTTCTCACCCAAATGTATTCTTATCTATTCTACACTTCATAACATCACACTAGCTGCTGATTTGTTAATGAGCTGGGACTTAAACGCCTGGGTTTACTCATTTTGTTTTTTATCTCCAGCCAAATCAAATTCTGTGGTGTCTATGAACCACTTTTAATTACAAACTCACAAAAAACATTTTTTTAAATGTATTTACTGTAAAAGCGTAATTGAGTGTATTGATTTGTTAGATGTATTGTTGTTATTATTATTATTATTATATTGTTTGATGATACTGAGTGTGTTCCCAAATGTCCCAAACTTTCTGAGTAATTGTCCATTGTTCTCTCAGCATTACGAGCAGTCCAAACTCTTCACGTCTATCATGGACCTCCTCAACATGATCTTCACTGTGGTCTTCACTATTGAAATGATCATCAAACTGATGGCACTTCGGGTTCATGTAAGCACCCAGATGAGTTTTCTGACACCTTTTCTGAAATTAAATGTGGTCTAAAGTGTATTCTGCTTGTGTTTGTGGCTATAGCATTATTTCATCGATCCGTGGAATTCCTTCGACGCGTTAATCGTGGTGGGGAGCGTGCTGGACATAGCAGTTTCTGAGTTTAGTGTAAGTAGATTTTGTTGCATGATCAGATCTGACCGTGGAAGGATGACCAAATATCCAAAAGTTAATTCATTCATTAAATTAAAATATTATTAGAGTATTTACCTTGTTACAATTCGTTCTGATACAAAATCTCTGAGCACATTCTTCCTGTCTTTCCCTAAGTCCCATATAAGGGCTCACACAAGGTGCAATCTTTGCTTTTATTCCTAGCCCCTGTAAAAAAAATGTAGTCCCGCGCCACTAAATTTTTCCTATGGGGATCAATAAAGTATCTATCTATCTATCTATCTATCAATCTATATAATATGCTGATTTAATAATAACAGCGTCTCTGGCTCCGCTCCACACGCCCTAAGATGATCTAGGGACTTTGTGTCATTTTTGCCTTTAGCTGAACACAATTCACGGCCATTTTATTTCCTTATTTATTCATTTATTTATTTTATATGGACACAACAGTTTCATTGGACAGACCATGCACTGCCTTTAGTGTTGGCAAGAGCTAGTTTTCAACACTTGTTCATACCAAGCTTTAGGACATATTTTCAAAGAAAGGGAAGGTTTCTCTTTCTCTTTCCATAATTAAATAATAATAATAATCTCATTAACAATAAATAATTGCATTGTTGACTGTGGTTTTCATGAGGCCTATGCATGCACATTATCACTTCAAATTTATATAATGTGAAAAATGTTGCTTTTTAATGCGTTCTGTTTTCTTCTCTTCAGGGAGGAGGGGGCCATGGTGAGGTAAAGACTGCACACATCCAGCAAACTTTATGAAACATTTACATCATGAAAAAGCTTTAAGACCTGTTTGTTTTTAGGGAAAAGGAGAAAGCGGCAAAGTGTCCATCACCTTTTTCCGTTTGTTCCGAGTCTTGCGTTTGGTGAAGCTGCTCAGCAAAGGAGAGGGCATCAGAACACTCCTCTGGACCTTTGTCAAGTCTCTACAGGTCAAACCACTAATTTAATGTATATTTGCTAAAACAGAAAGAGAAACACATGTGAATGCTGCACAATTCGCCATTTACCAAGTAGTTTTGTGGAAGTCAGACATTTTTTAGTGCCATATGAACAAAGTTTCTCCCCTTCAAAGATTGTAATGAACTTTTTGACAAATTTTCAAAACGAATATATCTGTTTTGTTAAAGATGTCTAGCTCCACACTTCATTATGACTGCTCTCCAAATTCTGTCTTAGTCTCATGGTACCAACCTTTTCCAACCATAAAAATGACTCTGCTTTAATGTTAACATTTCTCACCATATTTGTCTTTTCCCCTTCAGGCCTTGCCCTACGTCGGCCTGCTCATCGCCATGATCTTTTTCATCTACGCTGTGATCGGCATGCAGGTGAGTGGCAGCTTGTTGAAACCTCTCTGAGCTGAAACGTGTCTGTGGGACTCATGGTTTGTTCTGTAGACGTTTGGAAGAGTGGCCGTCGACGAAACGACTGAAATCAACCGAAACTGTAACTTCCAGACGTTCTTCATGGCTGTTCTGGTGCTGTTCAGGTGAATGGGAACTATAATACTATGGAAGGTTGCTCTGTCTGTGTTGTGGTGCTCCCTCCTCAGGTAGAAATGGATAAAGGAAAAGCCACATGAAAAACAATTGTGTGTACATGCTAATCTATAATTTTGTATTTATTTTCTATTTGTTTAGCCAACAAAGCAAAAATATACATTGTAAATATGAAAGATATCTCCAAGTTAAAAGTGAAATAGTATCTCTTCCTATTGACTGATTCCTATTGATGTTCTGGTCTGATTTTGTTTTCAACATTTTACCTTAGCCTTTAATGGTTTCTTCAACTATTTGGTGGATCACTAATTGAGACGACACTATATCAACTTGAAGCTTGGAACTGAAATCTCCCTCATTTTGACATCTCTATCAGTTGGTTTTTAAGCACTTTAAGTACTGTTGCATTTCAACCATTTTGTAGAGGTCTTTATTGAAAAGAACTAGGGGTTTTAAAATATTTCTGTGATATTGGTGCTGCTGCAACATCGCTTTTTCTTTTTTTCTTTTTTTTTACATTTTCTCCTTTGCTTTCTTCAAGGAGCAAACATTAAAGGGTGAAATCTCTTTCTGTTGGGACAGACAATATGTGGTATTTATGTAAAAAAATAAAAAGTTTGAATCCCAGCTTGTAAGTGAGTGTGATTTTACATCCACAAATAGAGAATTTTTGCCCCAAATGAACCAGAATTAGTCCAGTTAAAATAAACCAGACCAACAAGTGAACATGGATGATAATGATAACCATGAAAATAGCGATACATACTGTGCACTTTACTCTCACAGACCCTGATTCCAGACCAGCAGAAGATAGTTTTAAACTCATACATTTGTGAGTGAGTTTTGTGTCTGGTCTAATGCCGTAAGTGTGTTTTGCAGGTGCGCCACGGGAGAGCAGTGGCAGGAGATCATGTTAGCAGCTTTGCCCGGCAGACGCTGCGACCCCGAGGCCGACGTAGAACCAGGAGAAGAGTATTCGTGTGGGAGTAACCTGTCCTACATCTACTTCATTAGCTTCTTCATGCTCTGTGCTTACCTGGTGAGGAGAGGCCCGCTTCACTCGACAATAAATTGTATAAAAGCAACAAAAATATGGAGCCGTTTGTCCATAGCTCCTTCAGGATATCAAAAGTATGCAGTCGCTTTCTCGCGTCAGGAAAAAAAAAAGATCCACGGCTGTATCAAGTTGCTGCTTCCATATGAAACGTTCGAGCCCAGGAAAGGCCATGATCTGTAAATAATAGCGCTTCAATAAATTAGCTTTGGGCAATTTCATTTAAGTTTGCGTACTGCAGCTCTACAGACAGGGTCAGAAGTAAAGAGCTGCATAACAACGTTACAGTTTAAAAGTGCATTTTGTCCACCTGTGTGTCCCGTCCTGCAAATACTTGATGTGGTCAGTGTACTATTTAAGGCCAAAGGCAAGGCAAGTTTATTTGTATAGCACAGTTCATACAAAAGGAAACTCAAAGTGCTTAAAAAAGAAGCTGATCTAATTCTTAAAGATATCTCCAAGTCTATTTTAGACACTATATTTGAGTTTTTCAATAATTTTATTTCATTTTACTTTTATCTATACAAGGTTTTTTTAGTTGGTAAAATGACGCTGACGTTACTGATTAAATGTGGCTGTTATCATTCTAAATATAAGACTTGACAATTTAACATGATTATTGTACAAGTTAAATGTTGTTAAAACTACACCAAAACAGTCCAACTTGATAACACCTTAATCAGGGTTTCTGCAGGCCTTGACAAGACTAAAGCTACTGCTGAAAGTTTTAAGAACGGTTCTAAATGTATTGTCATTTAAAGTGTTTCCTAGAACAAGTGTTATTTTATTTTGTTCGGACAAAGGACCTTGGTTTGTCAGCTCAAAACCGGTGTTTAAATATATGACAAATACAATGTTACAAATGCCTGAAAAACTCTCGAGTGTCCAGTCGTCCTGCAGTCATTCAGGCTCCTGTTCTGTCTGAGGGGGTCCTTCACGTGTGAGGTCCAAAACTGGGTGGGACAATATTATGTTACATTCAAATTAGAACAGGGACAATCCCAAACAGCCTCTCCTCATGAACTGGTCATGTATAAATCAGACATGTCAAACTCAGGGTTGTGGGCCAAATCCAGCTCGCAAGACACATTTTAGTGGTCCCCTATAATGAGATTAATTTATTATTATTAATAGCTTTCAGCTTTGATGGTTATGGGCTACCTATTCTTTTCAGGAAGACAACCACATTTTAACCAAATCTATTCTAAAATAAAAAATAAAATAAAAAGTTAAATATAAAACAATGTGTTTGACTATTTTTTTTTTTTTTTAAATACCTCCATAATTACAGTTTCGTCCCCTGACCAGTTCTTCTTTTTTATTTGGCCCCTGATCATAATGTGCTGACATCCCTGGTACATATATCTCTTTTTATTAAGAGTAATAATTTTCAGAAACATAAAATGGACAAACATATGTTGACGTTGAATAGTCCTGCAATAGAATAGAAAAGTTTGGGCCATATTTGCATTTTTACATATTATTTGATTTAAAACAATGTTATTTATTGGCTCTTCTGTTTTTTTAGATTATTAATTTGTTCATCGCTGTCATCATGGATAATTTTGAATATCTGACCCGTGACTGGACCGTCCTCGGAACCCACCACCTGGACGAGTTCAAGCGGGTTTGGTCCGACTACGATCCGGAGGCTTCGTAAGACAATCTCCGTTTTCTGCACCTTTTAAGTTTTCAGCAGTAATAACTCCTTCATCAAAGTGTGTTCTCTCTTAAAAATCACAATTATAGTCAGTTATAGGCACTCTTTTATTGGATTATTGTTGACATTTCCAGATAATTACGCTTCTTTATATGTACAGGGCATGGTTCCTCTTTTATTATGGTGCTTACGTTCTAATAAGACCACAATAGGCCGTGAATAGAGAGCTACATTTTTTATTATATGTATAATTGTCTTTATTTGCATTATTTCAAGACGGATGCCAATGACAATTCAAAACAAAAAAGATGCCCCAACTACAACCAAAAAAAATGTTCTCTGCAACCATGAAAAATCATCAAGACGATATCCGACAGACCAGGCTCAGAGACAGACAGAGACAGCTACATCTTTTTTATTTCCCCTCACCACGCACTTCAGACACTTTTCACGTATCGCGATTCCGCAGTTGAAATAAAAAGTTCTGTCGATCTTTTGAATTGCAGGGGTCGTATAAAACACATAGATCTGGTGACAATGCTGCGCAGGATTCAGCCTCCTCTGGGTTTTGGAAAGCTGTGTCCACATCGAGTCTGCTGCAGGGTAAGTCACACACCGCTACTGCTGCTGCTACTGCTGCTGTTCTTTAGTCATCAACTATTTCTCCTTATCAGCTGAGAAAAATACAGGGTGTACAATTATGACTAAATGCTCAATAGGAGTACATAATGTAAAGCATGACGTCACTTTTTGTTTGTTTTTCTTGGACAGAGACTTGTGGCCATGAACGTCCCCCTCCACCCCGACGGCACAGTGACCTTTAGTGCAACGTTGTTTGCGCTGGTGCGAACTTCTCTCAAGATAAAGACTGAAGGTTTGAATATTTAGAGGAACAAAAACTACACATAAATACAGTAACGTGAGCGTGGTTGTGTCACAGTTTGATAGGCTGAGATTATGAAAGCGAAATCCCCCTGGGGTTTTAAATGAAATGACGGATGCATAATTTTCCCACTGTGGTGCTGGTGTTGAGGGTTGCTCTGAAGCCTAGTGCAGAGCTGTGGGGCCCATTGTAAATGCAGCCATTGAAGGTCGATCATGGGTTCGGGTGGTTAGTAGTGGGAGGATTCAAGTGAAGACGAAGGGACAGTGACCGGTGTAAATATACCAGAGTTAGATTCAGTTTTAGCAGAGGACCACCTTGTTGAGAGCTCTACTTTCTATCCAATCCAAGCCACTTTATTTACAGTATATAGCACATTTTACAAAACACATTTCTATATAGCTGCACAGATAAAACACATTTAAAGATACACGTCTGCCAGCTTTAAAAAATGCCTAAATAATGGCTGTGATGTCATAGAACCAACAATGTAATTTATGTTTTTGTCCCATTTCAAATGATTTGACCAAGTTAAAACCGTAAACCCGCAACTGTCTGAAACTTAGCTGTAGCTCCATTCTTTAACAGTTGAAGATAAGATAAGATAGACTTTATTGATCTCACACAGGAGAAATTTACATGTCACATCTGGCATGGATAGTCTCACTCAAGATTGTGCAAAAGAAAGATATGTTAAATGCAGGATATATAAGTTACAATAGAAAGTGGCAATTAAAAAGTGGCAATCAAAGAAACAGTGGCAATAGTTGTGCAGGTTTTTTTAAACATTAATTTGGCTAGAATAATGCTGCTGTCTCACATTATATTCATCAATAGTGTGTAAATTAGTGCGGCTTTGGCTCTGGGTTACTTTGCGGTTGCTATAGATACCAAACTTAGAAAATGGGGAAAACCAGACACACTTTTGCGTGGAAACTATTCTGTTCATGTTTTTTCAGTGAGTTTTCTAATGCACTTTTGGAGTTCCTTCCTTAAATGTACATGTTCTCTTCTTCTCAGGAGTCATTGACCAACAAAATGAGGAACTGAAGCTCATCATTAAGAAACTGTGGAAGCGGACTAAGCCTAAACTCATAGATGAAGTGATTCCTCCCCCTAGCGGTGTGTCTCCGTACTACACTGTGCAGAGACTTTTGATAATCCCTATGCTTCATTGTTTCTTTCCTCATGTTCTAGGGGAGGAAGTGACCTGTGGAAAGTTTTATGCCAGCTTCTTGATTCAAGACTACTTCAAGAAATTCAGGAAGAGAAAAGAACGAGAAAGGAAATCCAAAAAGAAGGACAAAGCAGCGTCTTTACAGGTGAGATCACATCTGACTTTCTATTATGTGTCTGTTCGTATAACAGTGTTTTCTCAATTAGATTTGGTTTGTATTCAGTGTTTGTGTTCAGAAATAGAACATTTTATATATTCTTTGGAACTACAAAACCGCAATGGTTTTTTTTTTAGTCTTGGATTTAAAGATGCAATATCCAATCCTAAATAAAAAATAAAACTATTTCAAAAATCTATGTGACTCACTATCACCAGTTTTCACATGCATTCACAGCTTTAGATCAGCTTTTTCAGACTGAAAAGTGGAAAAGAGAGGACCATCCTCACTCAATCACCTCTCAGCCCAAAGCGTCAAATATTGACTCATAGGGAATTTTCTTACGAGTGTGCAAAAGATAAAAGATGGTTTCTAACAAGATGAAGACAGCATGCTGTGGTCTGAAAGAGTACTTTGACCAGACTGTTTCTGTTGGGACAAACAACATTTGTTATTCACGAAACAATAATGCAAAGCAGACCTGGAGTTGTTTGTAACTCCGCCCCTTCTGTCTGAAAGCTCTTGTCTCAGTCCACATCACACTGTGTTGGCAATTTAGCAGGATCAATTATTTTTTTTGCAATAGCATGACTGTGTTTGCTGCCAATTAAAAAAATACTAGAATTCTACCCGTCTTTCTGGTGGTAGCAAAGGGATAGAACAATCTGAGTTATTTAGCCTTTATATTTGTTTCACCATATAATTCCTACTTATATTTTACATTTTGAAGCATGACATGGAAAAAATTCTCATTATCATGTTTAAAAGCCAAGTTTAAGGAGTTTCATGAGTGCACTCTAACAACCTCCCCTCGTCCTCTCCACAGCAAGGCCTGCGCTCCTTGCAGGACCTGGCCCCGGAGATGCGCCTGGCCATGACCTGCGACCTGGAGGAAGAAGAGGGAGACGACATTTTCGGGAGCGAAGCCACGTCGGCCAACACCACACCGGCCTCCACCCCCATGCCGCCCATAGAGACCCTGGTGGAGCAGACCAGTGTGTTCATAGAGCCTGATCCCCGAGCGGCCAATGGGATCGCAGCCACAGGGCATGTGATCACGGAGCAGGTGACCAGTCTCCATGACGTGGAGCTGGGATCAGAGCTGGCAGGTGTCAGCGTGGTCACAGCTCAACCGCTCAAGTCGGAACCGCTCCCAGTCACAAGGTAAGTGCAGCTATTAACATGTTTTTGTGAATAAACCCAGTTGGAGTAACAATATGGAGAAATATTACGATAATTGATTATATTGAAGCTACTGTTTGAAAGGGAAGATTATGTATTTATACCTCTGATTAAAGGCAAGTTTATTTTTCATAGAATCCACAAGGCAACCCAAAGTGCTTCACAAAACAAAAAAGACAATATTAAATTACTCAAAAGCAGGAAAACCCCAGAATTGTTTTTTTTTATTTTTTTATAATGTGTGCAATATTATCAAAATCCAGTATTTTCAGTGTAATAAGTGACAGAACCATTTATTATTTGTTAAATAATTCAATCATTTTCAGCTATAACCTGGTTATGTTCCCATCAAAATCTCTCCACTATTGCAAACAAAATGTGCAGATGATAAAGTTTGAGTAATAAAACATATTTTAGTTTAGGTACATTGTGACAGGCTTCATTGGGAGGGTTTTATGAATTTAGATTTAATTAAAGCTTACACTTTTTTGCCCCTTTACTTCATAACATTTACTTCCATGTTATGAAGTAAATGTTTTGAACAAATATTTCGTCTTGTTAGAAAAACATATTTACTGAGTAAGAAAGAGCCCTGTGAGCCACTATTTGACTCTTTGGGCGAGGGGCTTAGTGAGGCCCTCCAGACAGAGGCTTAATAATACATACATGCTTTTTCATCTATAACATCCTTAACAAGTCTATCAAGTGTGTATCATTCTCAAACTTTTGTTATAACATCAACTTAACATAATGTTATTAGCTTTCCAGGAACTGGCTGGATATAGACCAGTTCAGGCCGAGAATGGGACTACACAAGACTTAATCTGAAGACTTACATTTAAAATAGCAGTCAATGAGATAAAGATAAACTAAAATAGAAACCGACCAGATAAAGATTGAACTTTGTGCCAAATGCATCTTTGTCACAACAAGGGGTGTGACAATATATTGATTTTTTGATATATCGCGATACTTTCTACCGCGATTCGATTATCGATATGCATTTGCAAAGTATCGATATCGATTTTTTTTAAAAAACAATTTTTTTTACAATTTTTCTCTTTTTTAAAATTGGTATCAATACTTAATATATGGCTACATTACGCATCTCCATTCTATTTATCATAAAATAAAGAATAATTTTCCTTTTTTTTATGCCATAAATTGGCATATTTTATATTTCTGACCAATATCAACCAGGATAGAAAATAGTAATCATTCATCATTCACAAAGGACATTGATGGAATAATATAAATTTTTCTCTCTGCAGGATGACAGAGTATGCTCCACCTCCTCCACCTGAAACACCGATGGAAATACCACTGGAGGCACCAGTAGAAGCACCAGTAGAGGCAGCAGTAGAGGCAGCAGTAGAGGCAGCAGTAGAGGCAGCAGTAGAGGCAGCAGTAGCAGCAGAAGTGATCAACGAGCAGCCTCCACCATCGCAGCCCACAGCAGCAGAATCCCAGGGGCCCATTTATCAGAGTGACTACAGTGCTGGGACTCTAGCAGCTGACAGGTAAACACACATGGATCATTCTGAGCCAAAAGGTTTTTACTATTGTCCAATAACACATAATAAATTAATAAATATATCCATAGGCGCTCTGTGAAAATCATTCCATACATGTTTGTGGCAATAGAAGGATCCAACATGTTTGCACCATAGAGCTGCCTTTGGTGGTTCATTCTGTCCATACACGGTTGGTTCTTTTAAAGTTGTAATGCTGAGGCTAAGGAAGTGAGTGTTAGTCGTAGTTCGAATTGCTTTGCTTGATAAATAATTGAGATATTTCTGATCCAAATGTCCAAAATTCAGGTCTGCCTAAAAACTTTGTGAGAAAAGTTTTTATAGTTATATAGTTTTTATATCTAACATTTTATGCAGGTATACAATTTGTGCTTTTGGTGAAAATAAACAAGTGAAGAAATGTGGGGGAATAGTGTGTCAGATAATTGCTTCTTAGGTTCACTTTGTCCAATGACACTCTTTTTTTTTTTTTTTCACTGAACAAAAAATGTGACTTCTAAAACAAAACTTTGAAATCTCCAGAATGGTCAGAAATACAGCATTTATAAGTGATGCCAAAATGGTGCCTCCCAAAGCTGCATATTAACACACCCTTCTGTCCTGTGTGTGTGTGTGTCAGCTACAGCTTCCCAGATGCCGCGTCTCCGGCTCCGACCGAACCCGGATACCAGGATCCGGGTCTGGAGCGAGCGAGCAGCCTGGACGCCCACTATGCCGCTTCTAACACCAACGGCTTCATGACTAACGGCTTCAACGGCACCAACGGAGCCCCCAGCCCCAGCCCTTATCCCAACGGCTACAGCACCCCTGCATATAACGGGAACGGGTACACGGGCTACATCGACAACGGCAGCGTGGTCAGCGCCAACGGAAACGGCAGCAACGGCAGCAACGAGCAAAGCAGCAGCAGTGGCTTCAACGGCAACGGATACCAGAACGGGAACGGGGCGTTTGTGAGGAGGCGACTGCTGCCGGCTATCCCTAAAGGTGACGCTGTTGTTTTAGTGGCCCAGTCTTTCAAATGTCATTGATAATAATAATAATAATAATTGTTTTAAATAGTCCTTAACATGGCATTATTCATTTCTCTATACACAGTGGTGATAAACTTCTGTTCTAGCCACAGCTGCCCTGGGGCACACTGACAGAAGCCAGGCAACTATAGTATGTGCTATCAGCCCATACTGGTTGATAGCACATGGTCATCACAATTACTACCATTACAAAAAAAGCATATGGAATCTGACCAATAAAAAGCAAATATCAGGGAGGTTGGGTCATTAAATGTTCAGGATTCAATGGAAATGTAATTCTGCCATTTTTAAGCCTAAGTTAAACAAATCATTTCAACTAATCCATTTTTACAATAGTTGTCGACTAATGGTTGTATTTTGAATCTTTCATAGGCTTAAACTTGCTGAGTAGATCATGACTGCAGAATCAAATGAAAAATGCAAACAAAGTATTTTGACTCAAAAAACCCAATTTGTAATAACAAGACATCTCTGTGAAGATTGAGCCCTTGAGATTTGTTTTGAGCAAATTTTCAGGATTTAAACAGCTACTACAACAACTGGACCTGCGGCCTGTGCAGTGATGTGGTCTAGTGATGTATGTATTTTTGTGCTGGTGTCAGAGCAGATCTAATCATTGTGACTCCATCAAGCTGAGAAATGTAATCATAGTTGTGGCTGTGGCTGTGGAGAAAAGCAGGAGGGTTACTTTTGCTGCTATTACTGGTGCATGAGATGAGTTGTGTGGAGAGACGTTCAAAAGTAAATGTTTTTTTCGCTTTATGCCTTAGGTCGCAAGCCTGCCTTTAACTTCCAGTGTCTGCGGCCTCAGAGCAGCGTGGATGACCTCCCAATACCAGGGACATACCAAGGAAACTCCTCCCCGTCCAGGTCTCGCCTCCAGGTGAACTCTTCTACTACACTTTATTCTATGCTCTTTGTGTGACTGAAGTCGACAGAAACATGTCTATCTGTTATTTGTATCAGATTTGTTTTGTTGTATAAGCACATGTGAAAACATAGGTTGTATATAGAAAGCACTCATGGGCTCCTACTCTCTCTGGCTCCTAGTGATTTCTCCTCTATCTCAGTTTTTGTCACATTCACCATTTTGGGCTTTAAAAGAATGCTCCAAATCAAAATATGAGCCAATTAGACACATTCATTCTTGGAGGAAATTCCCAGTTGTCTTAGCAACAATCTCAGAAACACGTCTGTTACGGTGTGAAGCTAAGGCAGAGGTAGAAGTTCCCATAAAAATATTGGCTAGAGTATGTTCAAATTGGCCTCTTCCACATTGAGGTTAACCTTATGGTGATGTCAGCACTCGGTCAGTCCACTTCTAATGTACGGTCCATGACTGAAACTCAAGAAATTATAAAATTGTTCAAAAGTCAATTTTCTTCTGTAATTCAATTTCAAAGTTAACTCATCATTTAAAACATGAGCAGTAGCGGTGCGAGCCTTTCTCACAATCTGCTTGTAACAGAGAACTGTCCAACTCCAACAACAAAGTGAGATATTAAACATTTACTCTATATGTCAGTAATTAAATTCAAAGAAAGTACAAATTGCAACTCACAGTGGTTAAAAACCACCATAAAAACACTGAAAAATAGAATATTAGGCTGTAAGCCACAATGTCATAGCTCACTGCACAAATTACGTGAACTTTTGAACAGTATTCCAGAGCCATGAGACTAATTTTCAACTGCAGTACAAAAGCGCTCTAAGAAGAAGGACACCGTTATATTCATGGACTGAGCCTGTGGTTTTTGTCTTATTCATTTAACTAATTTGTCATAATAGAATAGATTTGACTAAATGTGAGAATTTTACACATAAAACGACAGTTCCTCCCACTTACAAAGAGCTGACTGTCGACCTCTCGACGAAACGCACATTTTCTCACAGTCAACTGAAATCCACGCTCTATAAATAACTAACCCCATCATGACTCCCCTTCTCTCCCCTCTCCAGACCCAGCACAGCCTGGACTCTCGGAGGAGCAGCGTCTCCTCCATGTCCTCTGCCTCTTGGGCGAACACGACTGCAGCTGGTGCCACCCCGCTGCCCTCCATCTTGTCTTCGTCCGGCCGCAGGGGGAAGCTCCTCTACACGCCCATGCTGCTGGTGGACGAGGCCACGGGGACCTCGCAGCCTCTGTGGAGCAGCGGGTCAGCCAGTCTCCCCCAGAGGAGCACCCCAGGCTGGTACCCCAACCAGCCCCGCACCTTCACCAGCTCCAGGATGGCCCCCGTCACACACTCGTACATAGACAAAGGCAGCGCAGACAGCCTGGTGGAGTCGGTGAGTCCAAAACGGCACATGTGTGAATTAATAAATGTGTCATGTCATGAACTTGTTGTATTTTTGTATGTATTTGTGTATTTATTAAAGTTAGGGTACTTTCAAACTTTCAAACCACAAAAAAAAACTATTTATAATCCATCTATCTTGTTCTTTGCTGTCATAGTTGTGATGAGGTGAGATGAAGGAGGACCCAAAAAGCAGGAATGCAAATAATAACAATGATTTAATGAAGAATAATGAAATTTAAGTCCGGGAAAAAACTAAAAACTTAAATTCCAAACAAAATTCAGGAACCAGGAAAACAGACGAACAAAGACAATGGACCAGCAAGAAGGGGAGAGGAGCACAGGCACATATAGACACAGAGACACAGGGGAAACACATCAGGTCGGGGCAGACAATCGACAGGAAGTTTAACTAAAACAAAATCACAGAAAACTGAATTCAGAATAAAACCAAGAACAAAAATAAAATCCACTCCATGACATCGGTTCTATTACTATTTTTTTCATACCTAGATTTTTGGCAGGACAGAAAGAGTCTTGTAAAAGTAAAATGTTGTGAACAAATCAAACCACATCATGCTGTCTTCATCTTTATAGAAAACATGTTATCTTTGTTTACTTGTGAGAAAGAGCTCTGGGAGTCACTCGGTGAAGCTTTGGGCTGAGAGCTGATTGACTGCAGGAGGGTGGTCCATTCTCTTTCACTTTTTGGTCTGAAAAAGCTGATTTACTCTACATCACGTCATCACAAGTGATACCAAGCTGTTTTAGAGCCAGGAACTTGGTACATGGATTTTATTACAGAGTTAAATGTTTAAAAAGTAGACAATAATAGACATTTTTTTGTCATTGGCTGTAATCTTCCACAAAATAGCATTAAACGTATTTTATAAGAAAAAAGGGCCGCCCTTACTCTCTCTCCCCAGCCCTAAATGCCAAATAGTGACTCACAGGGTTCTAATTTTCAAGTATGCAAAAGATAATATGATTTCTAATAAGATGAAGACAGCATCTTGTGGTCTTATTTGTTCAGAAGCACCCAAAATGCAAGACTGCCAAAAATGTAAGATTTCATTCCCAAAAACTCAGAAATAACAACATTCAGAGTGACAGAACTCCAAACTCAAACCAAGACGGAACAGGGTAAAAACATAATGGACCAACAACAATGGGAGAGGAGCACAGGGTTTACATACACACAGGGACACACATCAGGGCGGGACAGGAAATCAACTGAATTAAGATATCTGTTCAAAATAAAACCAGGAAAGTTATCTAAAAGTCCACACCATGACAAACACACGACAAGACTCTTTCTGTTGGATCATAAAAGTTAGGTACCCAGCTTTAATGAAACATGTTTAAGTGCTTGAGAAAGTGATCATAATCTTTACTACCAGATGCTCTATAAGGATCGTGTTAAGTAAAAGTAAAACAAGAAAACTTCAATAATAAATGTGAAATATTTATCTTTTTCCACCCCGTTTTAAAAACCCACACAGTAAAATCGCTAGAGTAAAATTTACTCAAATTGAGGAAAATTTAACTCCATTTTTGATAACATTTGGTCCCTCTCTAAAAAGAGTCAAATTAACTCTTTTGATAGAGTCGTTTAATCGGAGTAATTTCTCTTCAATTTAGAGTAAAAATTCTACTCTTTAATAGTAAAATTCACTCTCTGCAGAGAACATTTAAATTGACTCTTACTCTAGTTTTACTCTTGCGAGAGGAACTATAAATTTACTCCATGGTATTTTACTCCCTAAAAAGAGTTAACATTCCTCAATTCTGAGTAATTGTTTAATAGTACATTTCACTCTATATAGAGTAAATTTCAATTGACTCTCACTCTATTTTGTACTCTTACTTGAGGAACTATATATTTACTCCATAGTAATTTACTCCCTAAAAAGAACTCAATTTTGAGTGATAGTTTCTCCACAAGCTCCTAAAAATGTGAAATATGACAAAAAGATCAAACATTTTTTCACATACCCTTTTATTTGGCACCAAATACTTGCTCAATAGAAAATTCTCATTCCATTTGTGAACATGCACACTGTTGACACAGAAATCCAAATATTAGGGTTGATGCCTTTCTGTGATTCCGTGCAGATGATCTTGAATGCTGGTCCCAGTCTAGAAAATTAACAAGCATACGTTAATAATGAAGCCCTTCCAAAAAGTTAGAAAAAGCGAGGTGACCTTACCTTGAGAAACAGTGAGATGGTCACAGACATGTCTGGTGAAGTAGAAGAAGAAGACATGTCATTGCCCCAGCCTGAAAAAGATCAAACGGAAGTCATCTACTGTGTTTGTGACACGATCCATTTTCACCAATATAAAAAAACTCACCTTCAACTTTAGAGGTGGACTCAGCTTTAATTCTTGATTGCAGACAATTGGCTAATTTTGTTGAAGTAGCATCATCAAGCATACTGTAAGTCTGAAGTCCTGCTCTATCTGTTTTATAACGAAAGACATAATGAAATGTTGATACAACATTAACAATATCAATATTTAAGGTGACTTACCAGTCCTGATATATCCAGAAATCTTGAAAACATTGTGAAGACCGAGAGATTTTTCAGGACCATATTTTGACGATAGTGACATGTCTGCTTCATCTTCTCTTTGACTATGGCTTCATCCATTGTGTGCTTCATGAGAGCAATTGCTTCACAGAATAGACTTTCTGCCAGCACAGATCAATCTTCCTCTTGTAGGTATCTCAGTTAGCATGCGGACCACCTATAGACAAATAAACATACAAATAATTTACCTTTTCCAACAGAATAACTCAACAGTCTTTAACTAACCTTTTGGTAATGGTGTCCTTTTGGGACCATAGGACACAGCCAGAAAAACGGTAATAGTGCTCCTGAAATAAAAACATAGTTTGACAACATGCCTGTGAATGACTCGGATACAAATGTTCAGAGGAGTTAAGTATCATACCAAGTTAGCTCTTTGGATCTGCCAAACAGAGATAACAAGGCAATAATTCCTCTGGCATATTCGTCTTTTACACGCCTTGAAGGACTTCTTTAAAATAATAGGTTATATTTTAGTTATGAAACAGTGAAACTTTCAAAATTAGCAATGTTTTACCATGTTCATTTGTCATATGCGCAACCAAAATGTTGACCATATCACGTCTCCTGCTGTCTGTAAGGCTTTTGAGCATAATCGCTTAAGATTCCATCTCCTCCTGGTTTGTTCTTTGGGATGCTCTCAATCTGGAAACATAAAACAAAGTGTTTACAATGGTAACGATAAAATAACTTAATCAGCTACATAGTGTGGTGCATATATATATAACCATCAAGCTCACATGTGAGAGACGAACCTCCTCAGTTCTATTGACTGAAGCAGGTCTAAACTGCTATGATCGCGTCCTCAGAGTCAACCTCGGTATCTCCACTTTGGGGAGCTCAACCCATCTGCAACATAAAGTCATAGTTGTCAAAATAAAAACCTTAATATATGAAAATACAGCATTAAATTAATTAATTATTTAAAAAACACACACCCTTTGGTGAACAAACATCTAGCACACCCAAACGCTCCTTCTTGAGGAGAAATTCAAATACTTCATCAACCTCAGTCTTCGTCTCATCATAGACTTTGAAAGTTGGAATATCCATTTATTTTGCAACTGCAAAAACAAATGTATGTTTATGATTGTTTACAAGTATCAAGGCATTTCAGAGTGGAGTACAATGTAATATTATCAAAGCATTTTACTTTATAATGCCCCTGAAGCTAAAGATAATTACATATTTCCCACTTACTACATTTTAAGAATAACGCAAAACAAAGCTGCCCTTCATAGCAGATGTACTTCTGTGGATCGCTGCACATCACTTCAGCATTCATCTAAGGAGACATATAAAACAATTTTAGTACACACATGTGGTCACTGTTGTAACAGTAATAGTGTTTATGTGGCAAACATAGCTAAAACTGCATCCAAAGTCAACTACGCTGTCTGTAACAATGCTAACAACAATGCTAACAACAAAACTACTCATGTCAGAGTCACCTCCATGTGCTGCGCTGTCTGTAACAATGCTAACAACAAAACTACTCAAGTTAGAGTCACCTCCATGTGCTGCGCTGTCTGTAACAATGCTAACAACAAAACTACTCATGTCAGAGTCACCTCCATGTGCTGCGCTGTCTGTAACAATGCTAACGCGCCACCATAGCTCATTCCCAGTGTCAAATACTTGCCCATTCTAACCCATGAGAAACCATGCTAAAGCACCAAAGTAATACACGCGGTCGTCTGTCTACGTCACCGGAGCACAACAGGCGTTTTACAATAGAATGTATTCAGTGTATACAGATTGATTTGAATAAAGTAACACATACACACACTAAAAAATAGCTCAAAGAATGTGTTGCAGTGACGCAAAATTTGATTAACTAATTAACATAAGTTTAACAAATTCTACATTTTGAATGTATATTAATCCATTACTAATAAACTCTGTACAACTCCAACCACATATGATTGCCAGAAGATGTAACACTATATCAGTATTTGTAACTTGTAACAGCACTAAGCTAGCAGCTTTCACAAGACACAACTGTGTTCCAAATGTACACCGCGATAACAGCATGGACTAAATGAAACTGAAAAAAGTGACAAACTTTAAATACGCATTTAGACTCACCTTGTATCCTTTTGACTATCCATGACGTAGAAAGAAATTAGTACATCCATGGTTTCCACACTCCGTCTGCTAGTGTCCAGCGAGAAACTGTCATGGCGGCGGTTCAGAAGCTCAAGACCTGAGTTTTGGGGGCGGGACATAGGGCGGGGCCTCATTTACTCCAATCGAGGAGATTCTGATCATCTCTGAAAAATCACTCGCACTCTAGAGGCCGCTAGAGGTTATTTTACTCTAAAATGTTTAAAAAGAACTCAATTGGAAGAAAAAAATAATGACTCTGGAAATTTTACTCAGCCGTTTTTGCTGTGCATCCATCTCTTTTTGTCGTCTCACAGATTTTGATCTCCGAGGGTCTTGGTATCTACGCTCGGGACCCCAAATTTGTGAACTTTGCGAAGCGGGAGATCGCAGAGGCGTGTCGCATGAGCCTGGACGAGATGGAGAGCGCCGCCACAGACTTGATCTCCCGAGGAGCCAGTCGCCCCACGTCCAGGTACGAGGACGAGCTGGCCGACGAGATCAACTGTGTGGTTTCTTACTGAAGACAGGACTTCAGGACCGTCCAGAGACACGGGAGGTCCCAAACCAGACCAGATTTACAACAGATTTTTATCTATTAACATTTATAGACATTGGTCATCTGCCCATTTTGGACCAATGGTTGTATATGTTTGAACTGTGTGATTCTCTGATCTGCGTTTGGGAATTGGCAACGAGATAGTTACTGTCAATATTTAGGGCAATACAAACATTAATATTATTTAATTTTAATTGAGTAAAAGAGTTTCAAACCAGACCAGAGACATAAAAGGTCCAAACCAGAAACACTTTCAAGTTCATTTGTTTCTCTATTGTCACGACTGCTTTTTTACTCCTACAGCGTAATATTTGGCAAAAAAAAAAATTGCTATTTACAATCCATACTTGAATTTTGAGCAATATATTTATAAGGGGGTGGGTTTTTTTTTAAGAGTAATAAAAGATGATTCACGTTTGAGAGTTTATCAAATGCTATAATTGTGTTTCTTTAAATTAAGAACATGTAACTTTGTACATATGTATTTATTCAAAGGTTTATTATAAAAAAATAAAAATAAATTATTAAACCAAAGATTTGACTGCTTTCTTTGAGGTTTAAAGGCACTCACAGCCCGAGGACAATCAAAGTGTGTGTGTGTGCCTTTAACTGTGTTCACTTTTTCACAAACACATAAAAATCCTCTATGACTCCATGTTTGTCACTGATACTGTTGCTATTTCAGAGAGAAATGATCCAAACAACGTTGTTAAGATAATTTTATGGTAATTCAGCAGTCACAGAAAGCAAAGGAAGAGACGTTTTTTTGTACAGCACAGTTCATACACTAGGCATCTCAACATTCTTAATAAAACAAGAAAAGAAACAAAATCATCAGTACATTAGAAAGAGTAAAGATACAGTGATATATATACACAGATAAGTGTTTTAACTTGGATTTCAACAATGTCAGAGAGGAAGCCTGTCTCACATTTTTAGGAAGACCAGAAGACCTGCATAAATCTGAAATAGCCTCGCCATGTTTAGTTCTGACTCTGGGCACCAGCAGGAGGCCAGTCCCTGTGCTCCTCAGAGTCCGAGGTGGATCATATGTCACAGATGGCCCTGGAGAGACTACTACACAGAGATTTGCTTTAAAGTCTTCCCTGATCCACAGGAAGCCAGTGCAGTACAGTCCAAACAACAGCCGTCCCAGTAAAGTAAGCGAGTAATCTGTACTGATATATCGCATTTCACTGACTGCGGTCACACACACACTGTTGTACCAGTCATTTCAATCCACTCCACACACAGTATTGTCAGAAGCAAGACCCCGAACACCTGGAGCACCAGGAGGAAACCCTACGAGAGAACATGCTACAGAAAGGCCTGGATAGTCCACTTAAACAGGCGCGCATGCATGTCGCCCTGGACCCTCACCCGCGGGGGCAATCTCAGCTCCCTATAATAAACCCCCGCCGTGATTGGCCGCCCTCCCCTTTTACGTCACGACGCTCTTAACACGTCCTTGCGTCCCCCCTCCCCCCCCCCCCCCCCCCCCATCGCCCTCCTCATCGCCCTCCTCCTCTCCTCCTTCAGCGCGCTGTTCCGGATGAGCCGCCTCCCTCCCTCCTCCGCTCTGATCCTCTTATCAGCGAGTAAGCGGCCAAGATGGATGTTGTAAACCAGGTAAGGCTTTGACTCGAAACTATATTCAAGTCTTTTACCGTCATTTGAGGAAAAAAATAATACTAATCAGCATGACGCGCTTGCTCTTCTTTGTCAAAGCGTGAGATTCGCGTTGCATTAAAACACACGCTTCGACCTTACGCGCTTCTATGCAGTGTTTTTGATCCGGTCGAGGCGAAATAATTAATGGGATGAATTATGCCCCAGCTTTACCTTCTTATTGTACCGTTTTCATTGTGGTGATGCGGCTGTTTAACCTATTGCTGATTTGTGCCTTTTACGCGCTGGATGCTGAGAAGGAGACGGTCACAGAGCAGGGGCCTGTGATAGCCCCAGACATGCCGCTGTGCCTGTTTTATCTGAGATCCTCACGCTTGTATTCGTGCCTGGATGACGACCACCAGCTTGCGTAGAGGCCTCGTATTATTGCTGCTTTTTGACAGCCGCAGTATAGGCCCCGCTTTGAATGGAGCCACCTACAAAGACCAAAAAAAAAACATAAATATCCAGATTCAGGTTGTCAAACTGAGCATCTGCACGTTTGGACAGCTTCTTTTTGAAATAATGATGCTGAGAGACAAGAAAGGAGGGAAAAAATACAAAATAGTAGACCACCATCACCACCACTACTACTTCTGCTGCTGCTGTATACTGCTGCTTCCTCTGGTGCAGCTATTTATTGATGGGGACACACCGCCTTCTCGCTGTGTCGCATTCACCTGCACATATGCACGCTGGTCCTGCATGTATACGCAAAAGAATGTGGTGGGAAATGCAGTGTGAGGCAGACAGTGCATGGGGCTGGGGAACACCACGTTAATCAGCTTTGTGGGATAGTGAGATTGGCCATGGCTTGCCAGGTATACACTCACACTCAGGTCCAGGCGGCACTCCAGTCAAGTATCACAGGAAGAGGAGCAGGCTCATATACAGGCCTATGTGTTGTGGGGTGATAGAATGGCTCTGCAAGTCAATGATGTTAAAAAAAAAACACTAAATGGAAACTAAATGGAATAGTATCCGTGCTGTGAGAAGGTTTGGTTTGATTCATAATAGCAGTATTGGTGTCAAAAGTTTCAAAAAGCAGAAATGAATCTATTTCAACTATTTCCAAACTAAAGCATGGATTTCCTCTGCAGCTTTCCCATGATCTTGATAGACTTTAGAATCCAAGCACATTTTTGGAATGATATTAAAGGTAGAATTAGTTTTAATCTGCAAAATAGGATATTAGGATATATTCATCTTGACTTTATTGTTCCAGTCTTATTTCAAGCAAAGTGCGGCATTGTATTTGTCATTCCAAGTGACAAACTTATTCAGTCTCCCCCCATTGGCCCAGGCACTCCAAACAAGGCGTATTCAGACATTCCAATCAATTCCTAACTTATTTTACAGTCTGTTTTGCAGTGTGTATCAGAATTAGTAAATCAAATCCATGTGTTTTTGTGCAGCCCAAAATCACAACAGTCATCTCTTTGAACTTTTCAAAATGTATGATGTTCCAGCAGCAGATAAGAAAATCAAACCGTTAACACAGTCCGCAGCATAAAAATGGGGGGCTTCTGTCAGTACCATAGACTGTATAGATTCAGTACGTTCCAAGGCAGTGGCTTCAGTCATGGATAATGCCATGTGAGGTGTCTTTGGATGTCCAGTAAAGCACTTTAAACCAAATCCTTAAAGAATTCACTGCAAAAAAATGATCAGATATGAGGTAATAAACGCTTAAATCAAGGGCTTTCATCTTAATTTGAGTTCATTCTGACTGTCTTATTAGATTTGCCAAGAACTGTTTCTTTATTTTCCTATTTCAAGGGAGACATTTGTTGTATCTTTTTAGAGATACAAGATAATTCTGCTTGTCCCATTGGCAAATCTTGTTTTAAAGTAGTAAAAGTATGTTCTCAAATTAAGATATGATTGACCAAATTTGACCACTTTTTAACTTATTTTTCATAATTTTTTGCAGTGTACCATTATTTTATATGATATTTTGTAATGGGAAAAAACTTGATGGTCAAATCACTGTGGTTGCGATATTGTCTTTGTGAATAAAGCCAGTGGGTTGAGTTTGTTTCGTGACTGTCCATTCTCTGTGCGGTTTTCCCTTGAATGCTCATCGTGCCGGTCCCTGTTTAGTTCAAGGTTAAATGAAATCAAACGCACAGAACCATCACATCAAACTGCCAGGACGTGTGCATACATACAGCATCATATCATTGTTATGGACAGACAACAACAAAGCGCTGATTGTTCTGACCCTGGGCGGGCTCCAGGGGGGGTCAAGGAGGGGCTCCAGACCCTCCTCTCAAAGACCCTGACCCCTCTTTCACTGGTCCTCCATCCATCCTCACCCCTGATAATACAGTGTCACATTAGACATTGTATAAACTAACGTAAAAAAAACAACAGCTATATTTTGCTCTGTTTACCGTTGTGTCCTTTTTATACAAGTTGTGTTTTTAAGGACCGCTCAAAAAGTAATATGTTATAATTGTGTATTTTTTGTAGCCTATTTGCGTCATACTTTGTTATCATTTCAGTGCTCCGTTTTTTAAATAGGCCTACAGTCTACATTTGCCATACTATAAAACACCCCTGAAATCAAAGGGTATATAGAAGCCTGCTGTGGGCAAGTTTATTTGTGTAGAACAGTTCATACAGAAAGCAACTCAAAGTGCTGAACAAAACAAGGCCACACAATGAATTAAAATTATGAATTATCACAGTGCATTAAAAAGAGCTAAACAGAACTGTTTTAACCTGGATTTGAACATGGTCAGAGTAGAAGCTTGTCTCACATTTCCAGGAAGACTGTTCCAGATTTTAGCTTCTACAACGCTGATGTTGGAAGGGCAGACTAAAACGTATAAACGTATAAGGTCTTAAAAGTGTCTGTTTCTAGATCGCAAATAATAAGTGACCATTGTGTGATACATATGGATCATTCACATGTGTTATAGTCAAGTTTTTTTCTACAATACTATTAATACACAAGGAAACTCAAAATCATTCAGTATCATTCTCCGCACCATCAGCCCGTTTACTGTTATTTTAGAGTGTATTCGCTTTTTGATATAAGATGAAATGTGTTTATAGGTGCATATAAACGTGGAGTGTATTTTTTGGTAACGATTAGCACACAATGTTAAACCAGCTTTGATGTAAACACAGTTGTAACCATGGTGATGTCTCTCTTCTACAGTTGGTGGCCCAAGGGCAGTTCACTATAGTCAAAACTCCTTTGGGATTCATCAAAATTCTACAATGGGTAAGTTTGGATTTTATTCTCATCACATTCAATCCAACTTCATATGAAATAATGATAAAAGACACACCCATTAACTCCAAAATACTAATGTAAAATGTCTTGTACAAAAAAACACACACTGGAAATCATTATGTATAGAAAAATATTCAGCCTTCATGAGATTTGCTTCTGTTAAGGACTAAGGAAAAGAAAATTTTAACTTTTTTTGTGTTGAAACTCTAAATGTGTAATGTGTATTGTACCAGGCAAGGCAAAGTAAGTTTTTTTGTATAGCGCAGTTCATAGACAATGAAACTCAGAGTGCTCAACAAAACAAGATCAATCACACAATGCATTAAAATCACAATCAAATATAATCACAGTACATTAAAACGATACAATCCTACATTTGTACTCTTTTTTTTGCTGTATTTTTGCCACATACATTGTAAATTAGTAATGTGGAAAAGGGGGCGGGACTAAATACATTCATACTTTCACCCACTCTTTTTCAAACATGTGGTTAAGATTCATATGATTTCAAAGTTGGTTTTGTGTTTGAAATGAATGAATCTGATCCAAATAAAACCTTTAGAATCACAATACTAACAATTCTAGGACTGCAACAAGTGAATTTCAATAAGTGGATTCACAATTCTCGAAAAAAAAATCACCCTCTATCTCTATACTCTATCATTGCATGGTGACAAATAGCATCATTTTGGGTCAAACTGAATCAAAATCTCATATTCACGTGTATCACCAAGACTCCCCTTGACCCGATACTCCAACAAAATGAACAATAAGCTCCACCCCTTTTCCTGTTTGTGCCATGTGTGCTCCCAGCAGCCTCCACTATAGCTTTGCTGGTGCTAGCGATATATACATCATCTTGTCTTCCCTTCATTTGTGCCCTTGTCTCTCTCCACTAAGGTCACGCTGCATCACGCGGCTTCACGATACATGTAGCCGCACGTCTAAACTGATGCGTTAATCGTGCCCACTCGTCTACCAGAGGAAACTTGTTCTCGACGCTCGGCTTTTCCTCACTCGCGAGGATAGTGGGTACAAAGGCACGTTGGCCTGTTGTGTAAACGTGCCCTAGGACGATCGAGGCCCCGGGCGTGTTGCTATGTGAGACAACGTAGGATAAATTACTATCACGCCGCTGCTAGTAAGGCTCTCTCGTCCTAGTTCCAGTTGGATACGTCGGTCGCTTGCAATGTTGTAGGTTCAACTATCGTCTTCGAGCCACATCTGCGGTACCGTTTTTGTGGAGGGAGTCCCTCGTGGGCGAAGACAGGACTGAGAGAAGGACAGTGTCCCCTTTGTTTCTCTTTTACATGTTGAGCTTGAGGACTATAAAGCAGGCATGGTCCCGAAATACTGTGGCCTCCGGGAACATACAAGCCCGGGGTCTTGAGCAGATGTTATTGGACGTCTACTTCCCCTGTTTTCAGTTGGAATAAGTGGGATTTGACGACATATAGTCTGTTTACTTGCTATGGAAAGGTGTGATACTAGATCCGGTGGCGTCTCTCTAACTGACTGTAATTATGCTGCTGGTCTGGTCCTCCCCTGTGTCCTGTATTATCTGCATGTAGCTCCGTGTGATCATAAAAAGAAAGGACACTCCCGCACAATCCGGTTACTATACTTATTTACATGTGGCTGTTCAGTGGATGTGTGTGGGATGGGTTGTGTTTCTGTGCATCACTTACTTTCCCCGCATAGCGTGACGAAAGCCGGTTCTGAAGTCTGGCATCATTGTACTGGTATTAACCCGTCCTGTCAATCACTCAGGTCCCTGATACAGGACTGGCCACATGGTCAAAGAGCTGGACACCATGGTGAGCACAATCCTAGGTCGACGTTTGCATTAGCGGTAACAGTACTCACAACAAGTGACTGGATTGCTCACTGATGAAGGAAAACCTCACTAGATAGATGATCAAATAGTCTACTAATACATGTTTTGGTTGAAGGAGATTGAAAGCACAATGAATGAACATAATATTTTATCACTAAATATAGTACTAAAATCAGTTATATTTACAATACACAAATGAAGGTAGCCACATATAAGAAAAAACAGGATCATGCAAACCAAAAACTATAGGAGAGGACATAAGATAACTATTAAAAGTGGAAAAGCCCAAAATCTGCGAATATCTCACAGATGATAGAAAATTACATAACTATGGCTCTCAGTAACGCTGCAGGGCTGGACCAGACGTAGGAATGGATGTCGTCTGCATGTTTAAAGGCTTTAGAATCGGTCTGATATGCCTCGGTCGCGATTTGTAGACAATGTTGGTTAAACATTTGTGCAATGCCCCGATTCTTATCAGATCTGTCACAAAGAAGCAGGGCAGGGCCTGGTCACGTACTTGTGATGGGTAGGACTACTGGCAATACTCGCCAAAGCAGGACAGTGTTCAAACTACGGGTGTGTCCGCCTCAGGACTCCCACTCACCTTTCCCCTCTCAGGTGGGTGGTGCAACGGTTGGCAGTGATCGGGATTGGCGGCCGTAGTGTCCCACCATCTATGGTGTGATTGAATGAAGTGAGAAAGGGAACGCACTGTATAAGTCTGTGCATTTCCGTCACATGAGTAAGTCTGTGGTATGTACGTATGCGTGCCCCAGCCCTAGACACGTGGCGCAGTGGCCTTACACCTGTATGTACTGCGCGTCAGAAAACACGTCGCTCAGAAAACAGGACCGTTCGTCGCGGTATCAGATAGGCTCCTCGTGAGGGTTGTCGTTTCGCTGATCTGTGATGCTGCTACTTCCTTGAAGCCACTGTGTCCTCATCACTGCCTCCGCTAGGTCAGGGCACAAAGCTCCAATCAGACCGCAAGTACTGGTGCGCTCAGAGCACAGACGCACCATCAATCGCATCAGCCACTCCCCCGCACCCACACCGTCTGCCCCACCGCCCACACCAGCATAGACTCCCCCCCACCTCCCACCACCCCAAACACAACCCCCGCACTTCCACAATATCATCAGCAATCCCACGCCATCAGCCACCACTATCCACAACTAATAACCAACGTTAGCAAAATCGCTGCTACCATCCGCAACGCCACAAACGGCCCCTCCCCCCGCATACCCAGCACCCCTGACCACACCCCCCACACCCCACCAACCCCCCAACCTGCACCTTATCCGACCGCCCTCACTCGACACCCCCAACCACCACCCAACCTCCCCCACTCCCACCACCCACCCCCCCCTCAACCAACCCACACCCACCCCCAACCCCTAATCCACCGCCCACACTCCCACGCTCCGACCAACGGCCAACCCACACCCCCACGCTCCCCCCACCCACATATCAAATCCCACTACCACCCTACCCCACACACCTCGACCAACCTTCACTAGAGAGAGGCCAGGGCGGGCCCCCCTAATGATTCATCTGTGTACGGCTGCTGGTGTGTGGCCGAGGGAGGAGGACCCCTGATTTGCGGCTGCTGCTGCTGCTGCATTCATCTGGGTATGTAGTACGAGAGCAGCAGGGAGCGGAGGACGAGGTAAACACACCCAATCCATATCGTGGAATGCAGCGGCGTAAAGCTTAAGGAAGCGGTGAAGAACTGTACGACACAAAAAAGAAAAATCATATAACTGTTTATGCGACACTTGAATTAGCATTTTCGATTCTTTCTTTCAACACCTGCTTTGTAAAGAAGAAAACGTCAAATGTAATTACGGCCAGAACGCAACTAATCCGATTAATACTCGACGGACTAACATCGATGTATTGAAATCGGTCGACAACTATTAGTAGTAATCGATTAATCGTTTTCTGGTTCACACGGACTCACAGACCAGAGCAAAAATGACATGAAAATTTAGTATTTTTGATTAAAACCAACTTTGTTTTTATAATTTCATGAATATCTGTCTGTCTCATCCAATCAGAGCAGAATTAGCACAAAGAGCCTGTTGCAAACATTTACTTTAAGTTTACGCCATCAATACGTCCTCGAGTGTTGCCACTTTAGCTTTTTGTGATGAAAAATTTTTTTTTTTCTACTCAATTCACAGCCAAGCGATTACTCGATTAATCGTAAAAATAATCGATAGATTAATCGATTACAAAATAATCGTTAGTTGCAGCTCTAAATGTAATGTAGGACTATCGAGCCGTACAAATGAGAAATTTGTTTGACCATCAGCAAATGTTTTGTCAATTTCAAGTAAATTTGAATTTCTGGTTTATTTTGAGAAAGATTGCAGTGTGTCGTGAGGCTGCACAAGTTTAACATAACATCACAATGATTTTTATGACAGATAGTGCCGTTAGATTCAAGATAAAGGTTTAAATAGTTTGATTCAGTTGGGGAAATACAATAGTGAGGCGTGAACATGATTCAGGGTTTTAATTTTCTATTTTCTTTCTTTGTTTTCGGATTCTTCCCGGACGCCTCCCCAGAGATGAGTTGCAGACATGTCCCAGAGACCCCCGGGAAGACCCAGGACACGCTGAAGGGACTCAGCGTGTCCTGGGAACGCCATAGTAGATGTTTCTGTTAAGATTCCACAACCTGCAACGGTTAGAGAAAATTATGAATGGAGCCTGGTTTTTAGACACTCCTGACCATTTTAAAAACATTTAATTTTTACCTTTTTTCCAATGGTTTTGAACAAGACATACTGTACCTCATTGGCAAATTCAGTCAGAAATGAGTCAGACCAGTGAGATATAGGTCACATCACAAATTCACGCTATTTTAAGCCACGTTTAACCTTTTTTATTCATTGATTGACTTCGAAATTAGAGCAGGGCAGAAATTGTATACATATTTTCCATCACTATCTCGATCTCCATTGTGGCGTACGTAAACAATACACAATGACACAAGAACCAACAAATGAGGCTCTTTTTACACTAGCAATTCAAACACAATTCACCTTTGATTAAACAAATATATATATTTGAACAGGTTGTAATGGAATCCCATGTTAAAGAATTAGTAAGTAAGTCATGTTTATTTATATGGCACATT